ACAAGAAAAAGGTTTGAGAGAGCCAAAGCGCTGCAGTGTTTTCAGAGAGCAAACTAGCGTCCTTGTTCTAATGTAATTCATTCATTAGATCCTTTCATAATCAGTTTATCTGCATTGTGTTGCGACGTGGATGAGACCATCTTACGTGTGTTTCTGCCCTTGTGCAGCGTCCAGTGGGTGTTGGTATCAGACAAAGAGATTAGATGCGGTGCTGGGGAGAGAATTATGGTATGTTGAGGGCTCGACACCCACTGAATACGCTGTAGACCGAAGCAGTGTTTGACTCCACTGGCTAATTAGTGCGATTACTGCACAGCTGGATTGGCCAGACGTTTTTACTGCGTTTTTGTCTAAAGGATCACTCACTCGATGAAGGCTTCATGCCGACCACTTCTGCTTCAGCAGAGTCTCTCTATTTTAGGACTGGCGGCTCTGTCTGCGGAGCCGGCGTCTAAATTTAAGGGAGTGGGGAGACTGAAGCACGGCGTTATTTTTTACGAAAACTGTTCCTCTTTTGTGCGAATACAGCGGGAAGCTTGGTGTGAAACTAAATCCTCCCAATCACATAGTTCAGCTCTTTGAAGTTACAAGTGATGCTCTGATGGAGTATTTATTTCCTGCAGTGTATTTATTCCCCCCGAAATGACTTCTACCCCCCTGAAAAGGTGTGCAATCATTTATTTTTAAGAAGAAAGTTAACATTTTTATATATTTTTTGCTATTTTTTGTTATTTTTCCACGCACAGCAGTTTCACACTGACATGAACATGCCGCAAATATGTTATTTTTGGTGTAAATACGGCTCCAGGGTTGCAACTAACAATTCATTTGAGCAAGAAATTATAAGAGGTAGTAAAAAAAAGCTAAACCACATTTTCCTAGAGCTCCAAGCTACGTCTTGAAATTGCTTGTTTTGTTCGACCACCGGTCCTGAATCCAAATGCCTTTTTGTTTTCCAACATCAGACAGAAACCCCTGAATCCAGAAACTGTTCAGATTCTCCTTTTGATCTCCACCCCTTTCAGTTATCTTCATATTAACCTTCTACTTCATCTGCTTGCCCTTCATCTTCTTCTAACTTTCCTTCCCTCTGATCTTCCTCCTCTCTCGTCTCTTTTGCTTGACCTCTCCTTCCCCGTCTGACCTCTCTCTACCCTCTCGCCGTTATCACCCCGTCTACTCGCCTCTCTTCCCCCTCACCTACCCGACCCCCCCCCCCCCCCCCCTCCTCCCCTCCCCTCCCTTCCCCACCGCCGCTTTCCCTCGCCGTCTTCACATCTCTCGCCCGCTCATTCATCCGTCCCCTTTCTTTATTGCACATCTGCAGCGGCCCGCCGGGCGAGCACAGCTCCTCCAAGCCCCCGCTGAGCTCCTCGGCCGTGACATCACGCGTCCTGCTGCGGCAGCAGCTGATGCGGGAGCAGCTTCAGGAGCAGGAGCGCCGGGAACAGCGGAGACAACGAGCTTCCCAGTGCCCACAAAGCACGGCGGCCCAGACCCCCGCCATCGATGTCAGCGTGTCCGTCGGTCTGCCGCCTGCGTCCCAGGTGCCAATGAATGTGTTCAAGGTAAACAGCCGTGGTTTTGGTGTGGGACGGTAGAAGAGGGATGCACGGGAATGTGTCATGTTAACATGGTACCAATATAGTTCTAACGCTGGTGGATTAGCAGGCTGACAAAGTGTTCAGTTTTTACAGTACATGTGTGTAAAGTTTCCACCTCTGAAATTAGATGATGCGTGTGTCATGGTGGCAGTCTGAATGGTCCTGGCAGGGCTGTATTAATAGGTTTTAGTAAGTCGGGTGTGTGTGTGTGTGTGTGTGTGTGTGTGTGGACGGTCAGGCAATTGTGGTTTTTACTATGACCTGGTGTAAAAAAAAAAAACACAGGAGTGAGTGAAGTGTGTTAAAATGCGTAGATGGGGATTATCTTTCCTGAGAGAATTCCTCTTTAATGCACGCTGTGCTTCCAGCCATTCGGATTTAGCCATCTTTAATCCTATTTGCTCAGCTAGATTCACATCTTTTCATAGCTTTGATTCCCTGGCAGTCCGAGGGACAGGAGACTGTTACGATTTTCTGTACCAGTGAAGACCGTTTTGTTTGAGGGATCCTTTTAACAAGGCAGTTTGGTAAGTTTGACTTCAGCGTGTTTTCAGAGAGTTGGGAGATTTTTTTTCAAATGGTAATAGAATGTGTTTTTCTGCATTGTGTGGCGTTGAATATTTTGGGGTTATCCTAGTTTGTGGACGCGTATATTCTGTTTTAGCACATACCGTCATTAGCGGTCTGACAAAACGTGGTGTGCGTTTGTGATTTCCTAAGATTTGCACAATATACATAAAAGTGTTTTTCTTTTTGCCGTTCCTTGCAAAACTTGTGAGCCGCTTAATTCTTGGTTCTGGCTTTCTAGTCTTTTGGAGTTCTTCTTTTTTTTACATCATTGCAAAGTAGACGGGAATGTTTGTGGAGTTTTTCATGAGGACAAACACACACACACACTCACCGTATAATCAACCTTTCTACTTCTCTCAGACAGACACAAATTAAGCTTTTGCTTTTGCCATTATTTTCCATTTGTTATTTCCCTGTGTTGATTTTTGGAAGGCTGCGCAATCAGGGCTGCAAGTCTTTTCATTTCGCAAAAGAACTTTCCCACGCAAACATATAGTCCTGTTAGTGCATTTCAATTTTCAAGAAGACGATACGCTTGTTTAGAACCCCAAATAGGGTGAAACTCAAAGTTTTGAATTGTTTATCCTCTCATTAGGTGTAGTAGAAAGTAGATATATTCTGGGGGGGTTGCTGAGTAATCTGTGTTGATCTTTATCCATTCACAACACAATCACAGATTTCATGGTTACTCGCTCAGCCACGCTTTCATCACCCTGGATGTGTGTGGCATGGGCCAGCAGCGACAGACAAATACAGTATATCCATTGAAAACTAGCAGCGTAAACATGACTTACTCCCCATAATCTGCAGCTCTTTGAGAGGTTTAGGGCACCCCTACCCCCAAACCCCCCTCCCCACCCCCCGCCGTGTACAATACATCAAGTTAGAGTCATTTCTCTGCTTTGGCGAGAGCTTACAGACATTCTTCATTGACTGAAGTCCTCAAACGAAAAGGCCGTTGCAGCTTGGCTCCGTTGAGCGGGGTTAACCTACTCACCTGTCTGCGGGTAGATTAGCGGAGTCCTCAAAAAGCTCAGGGGTACCAGGCAGAGCTGCCGGACCTCAAAAAGTGCAAACATTAAGCTCAAATGAGTTTATCTAGAGACTGATTGGACCCTTAATTAACCAAGTGACCTCCGACCTTCTGGGGAATAAGTAAGGGATCAGTTTAGGGATCAAGACAAAGGCGAGCACAGCCTTACCACACAGCGAACGCTAATTCAGTGAAGAATGCTCGTAATTAGCCCCCACTGCCTTCATTCCATGGCATATTTGAGAAGGGGGGGGTGGGGGGGGGGGGCGCTGCTTTGAAATTTATGTAGGATAACTTCCTAAAAGGGTTAAAAAAATGATTTGTCTTTAAAGGGATTTATTGTGCCTTGAAAAGAACAAAGTACTCTCCATGTACAAAATGTACGTTTCTTTTAAATTATACAAATGGTGCAGCTCGTGACTGTTACATATAAGAGTGTACAAAGATGCTAATGTCTCATTTCAGTAGATTTTTCTCAGGTAACGCGCCTGGATATTTGGTGAAAAATGTACATTTTGCAGCCTCTTATAAAATGACTCCCAGCAATTTATTACTAGCTCTCTGATTATTACAGATATTTATTCTAAGCTTTTACAGCGTACCACGCATTAAAGACATGCTTTTTAGCTTATGTTAATTTTAACACAACAGATCATTATTTAAAGACACCAGGTTTGTGTTCCACTGGTAATTTACCAAATCTCTGCATAATTGCATGACCACATTGGAGGCGTAAAAAACCACAGGTCGCTCTGATGTAGCTGCTCACATTAGCATCACAGTTGTCGCCTGCAATTTCCACCGAGCACGTTAGCAGCTTAACTGTGGGACAAAGTGGCCTATTCTTCTAGGCTGCATAGCAAATGGTGGCATTCTTGTTAATGTATCCTTATAGGACCATCGTAGACTGCCCAAAGCATGTAAGCAAAAAGAAATACAGATCCGTGTTTGTCAGCTTGCCGGCGTCGTCTCTCAGTACAGCAGGTTGCTTTGTGCGTGTTTTTGGACTGGGTTGTGTTGGCCCGGGGGCATGAAACAAGCTGATAAACAACAAGCTGTCTTGTTTTTCCTTCGCTTGCAGATGCTGTTGACGTCACATTTGAAAAGTGTATATTTCGGGAAGAATACATTAAGTGAAGTCGGGTAAATTAAAGTTAAAGCCCCGCCGGCTGGAATCGCTCCGCCATCCCGAGCTGTCCAAGCTGATTATCAGGGTTCGGGACGTATCGCAGTCTGGGATGGAACTGGAAAAAAACAAAAACAAATATATTATATAAAAATATACTTTTTGCCCCTCAGACCAGTGCATATTGACATTTCACCCTGAGGTCAGAGGGCCCCAGGGGGCCCCGGGTTAATTCTGAGCAGTTGGATCATCTAATTACGTGTAATAACTTTGGAAATCCCTCTGGATTCGTCTGGCTAAATATATGTAAGAGGTCTGCTACTTACTGCAACAGCGAGAAAAAGAGTTTCAGGGCTGCAACTTGTGATTATTTATGTATTTTAGAAGTTGATTATTTTCTCAACTTGTATACAGAGTAAGAAAATAGAGGAACAAAATGCAATGTGAAAGAACCCAAGGAGATACTACTATTACACACAAATTGCTTTGTTCCACATGTCGATATTCCGATATTCAGTCATATGAATCCTCACATCTGAGGATCTGAAACAATTAAAAGAAATATACCATGGATAAATGTACAGCCGTAACCCCTCATTTTTATTAGCGATGAATCTGCAGATTGTTTCTTCGATTAAGGGATTAATGTTGATTATGAAAATATCCCCTTCGTGATTAAGTCTTAACTCAAATTATTCATTGTTCGTAGAAAATAATTGAGTTCCAGATCCATTTTTTCTCAGTAGCATAATCGTTATAAACAAGCATAACGTCCGCAGTAAGGACATCATAAAAACAAAAAAATCCAGCTGTTAACATCCAATAAAACACTATTTTTATACCAAGAAGAAAAGACTCCGACAGTGATCCTTTGTATGTTCTTGTGGTTTCTATTTTTAGCATTTCTGCTCTAAGTTGACGTGAAGAGACAGACAGACTCAGTAGGTCTTTGGAAAACTAAAAAGAACTTTGGGAAGCAGTGGTTTCCGATCAGGTGGTCTGGAATCCCCAAAGGCTCCTACTCTGTATCTGAGGGGTTCGGAGATGATTAACAGGTCAGTACCGTAGCGAACAAAACACGTCCGTCTTGCTTCTTTGGCAGTCCTGAAGTCTGATGATTCATATGATGCTCAGAGGCGTCCGAAAATATAGACGTGAAGAAAAAAAAACTAAACTGATGGGATCCACTTGCATGTGCTGGTACACCACAAATTGCTTGAATAAAACATATCACCGTATAAAAGCCTATTGTCGTTGACTTCTCCTCCACCTGGCTGAGGGTCAAAAGGTCAAGAGCAGTTGCAAAGGAGAACAGGAGTTGACTCTTATGTAATCGATATGTGAACGGCACTTGGAAATTTGGAAGGTAGAGAATGAGAACAGTGACAAAGTCAAAGAGGAACAATCCACGTCTGGATTCTGCTCCGAGACCAAATCACGCCTCCTAAGGCCGCTTTCAATTCCTCCGCAGCGTGAGAAGCGACAGCGGGCGTTGCTTTAAAATGTTGCCGCCGTATGAAGCCGATGGACAACATCATTTGCTTACTGAATGGATGGTTCTATGTACCGATTACCGACTACAGAGAATTAACCAAGCAGGTCTTCATCCGGTCTTACATTTCATTTAGTTACTTTGAAATTTACAAGAAGACCAGTGTTAATTGTTATAGATTCATCAATTCAATTCTAATAGCTACCTCAGCCGATTAGCACGAGCTGAGCCTCTGAGTAGCGGATCTCTACAACAGGAAACACCAGAAAGTTTGACACCAATCCACATCCGTATTGTGCATACAGCACAACGCTGCTACTTGTGCGTTTCTGCCTGTTTTAAGGCTAAAGAACAGATGTTGCTGTTACTAAATCAGCTCTGAAGGTTTTTTTTTCCCATAAGCAACCGCTATGAAATGAAGATTGTTCCCACAATGAGAGAGGCAGCTTCACGCCTCACGTGTTGGGACGATGGCTGGAACCGACTAGTGAGATGGAAAGGATTAACTATTTTCCAACGTAGGTTTTCCCACAAACTAATCTGTAGTTTTCAATATTATGACAGCAGCTGACTGGCCGCAGATCAAGAGGTGCACTTTGTCTACATGGCTGTGCTTTTGTTGGAATAAAGAAATGAAATAACAATAAAAACTGTTCAATTTGATTATCACACAATTCAATTGCAGCCCTTTCAAATCCCTTATTCCATCTATTGAGCCAAATGACATGAAGGTTTTCCTCATTGCTTTCTGTAGATAAGTAACTTAAATTCCACGTTAAGAGCATTTATTTATTACAAAGTGGTAGTAACTTCGCCAAAGATGCCTGTTGATTTATTGTCGATGATTCAATAACAATGTGATCAGTATCGATACATCGGTTGAGTTAAACACCATAATGAAAACAAAGCAAAGACTACGGGATTGTGGGGACCAACATTAATGAATCTCACTGTTTTACCCTTTAGCCCAAAGCGGGACTTTGTTCTTCTCGGTGAGTAATTGACGTGCTGTAAACATGTCGGCTTTACAACCTGGTAATGACGTCATACCTGCGTGATAAATGTAAAACCTCTCACATGAGAACCCCCCCATCCTCTCCGGCCCCCCTCGGAACAATGGCTCTGCCTCTGGAGCGGAGAATCAGGTAAAGAGGTGAGACAAGTGATAAACTAGGCCTTCTCCAAAGGACACAAAGATGCACACGGATGATTCAAAATTAGAAATGTCGTGTTTAGTCCCGTTATGTTATCTTAAGTCAGTCCTCCCCGAGGATGCGTCGGTGCATTTTTTCATCAGTTCCTCGGGCTCCGTGGGTTGTGATAACCAAATCCTCTCGGCTGTCAAGTGCCGCGTGCAGACTACAGGGCTTTTCACGGCTCCGCTGAAGCCGTATCCTCTGATCTTACACAAAACAGACACACACACGCTCAGAAAAGAAAAGGAAGCAGCGCAGGCTCTCGTCCGTTGGGTTTGAGGCTCGGGACGCACGTCGTCGCCGGTTTCAAATGTAATTCACAGGCAAGATGAGTGACAAAACCCGGACATGTAGGGATGCGAGAGACTGTTTTCTTTGTGTCGTTTTAAATTGGGAATTCACGCCCGAGTCTCCAGAGGGTTCAATTATAAAAAAAAGTGGACGTGACAAAGCAACAGCCTGAGGCCAGTTTCAGTTAAAGAGGTGGCCGTGTAAAACAAAGACACTGACTGTTAGCAGCAAGTGATGAATTCAGATTTTACATAAAACAACACAAATTCGAAGAAGCTCATTGTACCTCCTTGATGTGCAGAACTAACGACTTTTCTTGTCTTTAAAAAGACATGTGTCTGTCCGTAGCAGGATTTAGTCTTCTGGTGCAAGCAAGAGGGACGCAGCTACAGCACTCAGTTTAGAGGGAAGTTTAACTTGGAAGTGTTGCTTTTTTCTCTATCGGACGGTTCAGTTTACTGTAAATGATGCTTGAGATGCTTGGATACCAACCGTATGAGGTATGTTTGAAATGAAAGTTATCTTCTTCGAGGGGTATTTTTTATTTTATTGAAACTAACATTTTTTTTGTCTTAAAGCCATCGCTTTTTTCCCTAACTAGCACATGCGTCATGTATCTAAATTTACTATCTGTGGTGTCATAATAACCACAGATTTTGTCAAGGAACTCAGGGAATAGACGGTTTAAATATAAACGTGAGGAGGAAGGCAGCAGCACTGCTCCGTTTGCAATGTGTCACAGCCTGAGGTTGGTTCGCTGTGTACGCATTAATGAAATCAAATGTATTCATAGCCAAAGGAGAGCAGAGATGGGTGTGTGTAAATAGTGTTACTTCAAATACGTGCACCATAAACACCAAAAAAGCAGAACGTCGCAGCTAAAGAAGATATGTAGAAATATGTTTTCTGCTGAGACTCTTTTAGATTTAACACTTTGACAGCATCTCAGAAGTAAAATGCATAATTCATTATCTGTTTTCAACACTATTTCAAGTTTATTTTAATACTTTAGTCAGTACAGTGAAGTGCTTGGACAGGCTTTGAGGTATATTTAGTCTTTAGTCATAATCTGTGTACATCTGTGTGTTTAATCTAATAAAATAATAATACAACAATAATATAGCTGTAGTTTATGATTTATTGTAGGATTTATTTCCCATGGTGCACCTGTAACCATCGACACTTCCCACCTCCCTCGCCCTTCTCTCTGCCCACCAACAGGTCCAGACTCACCTGGAGAACCCAACCAAGTACCACATCCAGCACTCCCAGCAGCAGCAGGTGAAGCGCTACCTGGGAAAGCTCGGCTCTCAGGTGTTGAACTTGCCCTGCCACAACCAGTCCTCTGACCACGGGGGCATGCCGCCAGGGCCGGGCAACAGCGCCCCCAACAGCCCCATGGCCTTACTCACCCTCAACTCCAACTGCGAGAAAGAGGTGAGCGCTCGTGATGCGATGTTGTTTTTTTTAACACATTAACGCAAGGATTTAATCTCCCTTTTCTCTGCGCCTTGTTTTTAGATGGATGATGTCATTGACGACATTATTAGTCTGGAGTCCAGTTACAGTGATGACATCCTGGGCTTGATGGACCCGGGACTCCAGATGGCTAACGCGGTAAGTGTGTGTGTGCAATTCACCTTTCCAAACGACTTCCCTGCTCTGTGTCTGCAGGGAGTCCAGCGATCTCTAGCAGTTTTGCCCAGATTTAAAGAAGTGGTCACAGATTGACCTTCTCGTCTCGCTCTGAGCACGGACTCAACTGAAACCCTCCCTTCATAAGTGACAGTGTGACTATTTTCACATATCATACGCGTGTAAACCTTTGTCCCCACCCTACCGATGACTCTTGTCTTATCGAGGGTCATCTCTGCTTCACGTCTCCCCTCCGCGTGCCCTCAGATCCCCGTGAACGCTAACCTCATGGACATGTACGGCAACCAGGGGATGTCCCAGCAAGGTCTGCCCGTCAGCAACTCGTGCCCTGCCAACCTGCCCAACATCAAAAGGGAATACTCCGGTAAGCAACAAACGCCTCACAAACACCGATTTTTTGTTGCATCGAAATAATGCATTTCCGACTTTTTTGAAACGCCTAATGTATGACATTCTATTTCTATTTGTATCCATTCCGCTCATATATTAAAAACATTATTCATCGCAGTTTCACAATCCCCGGCCATCATGCACATGCTGGATAAGTCTGGATCCTGCGGCAACAAGTTTGACAGCTATCAGCGGCCTGAGGGATTCCCTGTGGGTACGTGTGGTGAATTAGCTGCCAGCCCTTTTTGGAGATTTGCATTGCTCCATTGATTACATTGATTGATTCAAAGTATTGATTTTTCCTTCCAAAAGCTGAGGTAAGAGCGATGGCAAAGGAAAGGCAGAAGAAGGATAACCATAATTTGAGTGAGTTTCGATGCATTTCAATTGCTCTGTAAATGTGTAAACGTAAATACTGAAGTGTGGTAACATCTCTTTGTTAAAGTATAATATATATATGTAGATATATTTTAGATGGGAGTTTGTCAGCTAATCATGAATACTTTTCTTATCTGTTTTTATTCTGTAGTTGAGAGAAGACGACGGTTTAACATCAATGATCGAATCAAGGAGTTGGGAACTTTAATCCCCAAATCCAATGACCCGTAAGTTACTTCTATTATTCTTTTTCCTTTTAATAAAGATTCGTTTTTATTCTCTCATTACAACATGGCCTCTTTTGGTTATTATCCGTCCACACCCGCTAGTCAAAGAAACACTGTGGAAACACAAAGAGAGCATTTACTTCACTGTTGAAACCTCATTGTTTATTTGATCCCCCATTTCTTACATAATGCGAGTATTTTTAAAACAATATATGAACTTATCCTTTCTTCAATTTGCCCATTTCACTAGACAGATCTGTTGATCATTTAAATCTGTTAAATCAATCACAAAAGGGTCAAAGGTTAAACACAAACTGCAAATGTCCCCCTTGTGGAACTAATAAAGGATAATCTCATTTCATCGAGTCCTCGCTGGATCGGCCAGATTACCGGCGTATAAATACTTTCTGTTCTCTATGTATTGATACTTAGACGCTAGAAGCACCACTTTAAATGCCCTTCTCTTCCTTTGACCTTCGACCTCGCCTGTGGCTCCGTGAAGATGTCAGCAGCTCTTTGTGTCATGTCTATCCACCCGTGGTTGTTTTGCTAAACCCCGGCTGAGTGCTCCACCCACACCCAAGACCTACGGAGGCACACGCTCAGAGCCCTCCTCAAACAGGCCCAACGGCTGTTATTGTAGACCCAACGTTCTCAGCGCTATTATTGATTCATTCCCCTGTACGCATTAACTATGCTTTTTTTTTTTTCTCCGTGTGGCGTTCAGGGACATGCGCTGGAACAAAGGCACCATCCTGAAGGCGTCGGTGGACTACATCAGGAAGCTTCAGCGGGAGCAGCTGAGGGCCAAGGAGCTGGACAACCGCCAGAAGAAGCTCGAGCATGCCAACCGACATCTGATGTTGAGGATACAGGTAAAGCAGCTCCTACTTGAAATCCGACAAGGAATAAAAAAATGAAATAAATAAAAATACTGAAAGAAACTGGAATGTCAGCATTAACCGCCTCTCGTAACGTCACAACGGATTATAGCCCGTTATAAAATCAGGTCAAGCTTCGGGGAAAAGCAAGCAGAGCCGCCAATTCACCCGGCGAAGGCCACGTGCTGAGTGTGGGGGGGGGCGGAGGAGAGGGGGGGGGGCTGCTTAGATCCACCATCTTGTAAATAATTAGTCACAAGACAAGAGGCGTCAGGATCGGTTCCATTCGACTTGGCGGATATTGATTGATTGATTGCTTACATTGTGCGTGTGTGACGCGGTAAACAAAAGAGAACCCCACTTCAAGTAGTGGAAAGGTAAATTGAGGCGGCTCAGTCCGTCGCTGCCGGTGAGGATTTAAGAGGCCAGAGAGTGAAGCTCCTCCCCGATTCACCCAGAATGTGTCTTTCACTTGAAGGAGTTAGAGATGCAGGCCCGGGCACACGGCCTGGTCATCGCACCTCCAGCGCTCTGCTCCGCTGAACTTTGTGCCCGGCCCATAAAGCAGGAGACGGCCCTGGACGACTGCCGCTCGGAGCTGTACGCGCTCCACCAGCACCACCCGGCCTGCACCCCGGAGCCGCCCGGCGCCCCGGAGCTAAGCGAAGGCCACGGCGACTTCTCGGCGGAGGGTCACTACGGCGTCCACGTCAAGCCGGGCTCCAAGCTCAACGACATCCTCATGGAAGACACCCTGTCCCCGGTGAGAGGGGGGGACCCTCTGCTCTCGTCCATCTCCCCGGACACCTCGAAGGACAGCAGTCGCAAGAGCAGCGTGAGCATGGATGAGAATGATGAGGTCTGTTAGCGGCCCCTGCTGGAAGAAACCCGGCGTGCGTCTCCGACCGTCTCCAGCCTGCCGCAGGCGTCCCCCCCCGTCAGCGGCAGCGACACACTCCCAGCTGCCGGAGACGCTTTCTGCTGTCTGCGTCTGCATTTGTTCTGTTGTTGTGTTTACATGCGTTGAATCTTCTTTTTCTGGTGATGTCTTTGTGTTTGTGGATTTCAAGGACTGATTATAAAGTGTGTTTGCTCCAATCGATACTTTGCTGACAATGAGTTACAATAATAGAGGTTTTTATATTTTAAAAAACAGACATGCGTTAAACTTTAAATAGAGGCTAGATTGTGTTTATTTCTATTGATTCCAAAGGATCTAGGGAAGTTATGAATCACGGTCAGAAATGTAGATATTTTTGTTTTAGATAAACACTGCTTTTTAAATCGGTAGCAATAATAGAAGAAAGAAGATATATTTATTACGATAGTGCTTTACACTCCTTGTGTCTTAGAATGAACTTGAATGTGCCAATGCCTTATTAAGACGTTCATACATCAATGTCATATTGCTGTGCACATTTTTGGGCTGTTTGTCAGTCTTCCAGTTGACATTTCTTCTTTTTATGAATATTAATCATTTGTAGATTTCATCTTATTTATGTATCTATGTATCTAAGTACACATTCCCCTGAAAGGTATTTATGACAAGGCATTTAAAAGAGCCAATTTGAAACGACTAATAAACAAAAGCACATTAAGAATAGAAAGCTAATACGTCTCCTTCACCAGAACACAAACACACAAACACACACACACACACACACACAATAGGCTGGTTCCACTTGATGGATTGGATTGTTACCTAAAGATGAATCGGAGGCGTTTTTAGTGTATTCTTGTCTGTAGGGTGTCCATTTCCTAAATTATTATTTTTTTTTTTTATTTGTTTACATCAGTTTGGTGATATTTCACATCAAGGATGTTTTCTTTTCCACCATTATGTGAACATTTATATTTCCATGAACTAAAAAGAGACTGCTTTGGGATTTTGTATGACATTGTCAAAACACTGGAATGACATCTGTAATTTGTTCACTCTTTTTTTTTATCCAAGCATAAACTATTGTATTTGCCTTTTCAAACGCATACAGAATATTGTATGAGATTGTAGATTATTTACGACATATGGTTGTTGTATATTTTATCCGTTTGTTTTCAACAGTTGTAGCACATTGCATTAGTACGACTTTGTTCATTACTACTGCCATACATTGAGAGCTCCGTTTGTTAAACTATGCAATGGTTGATGTTGTGCCTGCACAGCGGCGTCATGTCTCGACAATGTGATCTCCTTATGAATAAGCCTGAAGCAGTGTAAAAGTAAGTATATTTTAATTGATTTTAAGTGCCTTACAGTTGTTTCTGTTACACTGGTGATGTTAGAGGAGTTAAGACAGTGATGCAACATGTTGTTGATGTTTATATTGGTGTTTGATGCTTCATGTGTTAGCTGAAAAGTGCCAAAGTACTTTAGCAAGTAGTAGGAAAGGGGGCATTTGTCATGTTACAATATAACATTATCTGCCTCTCTTACTCAAGCCACAAGAAACCCTTTGTTTTGATGGAACCCCAAAATGTTCAGTACTGAATGAATAAATAAGGCATTATGAAATAAATTATCATAAGACTAAACAGAGTTAAATTCATAAAGCAAACCACTGACTTCTGAAATTAATAATGAATGCCATTTCATTATTATTATTTTCACATGAAGTGTTTTGTTTTTTATTCCGTACACAGTTGTTTTATTTAAGAAAAAACATTTTTCTAAAATGTGCCTTTACTCAGTAATGGCACTCTCCGGAATGAGACTTTTCATTTAAACCTCGCTCTTTTATCATCCAGTTTGACCAACCCTTCACCCTCTTCCAGCATTTACTGAATCCTCTCTGTAGAGACTCGTCAACAGCCAAACGCTCCTCGACCACAATGCAAAAGATAATTCTGACTGGATGACGTAGCAATGAGCCGAGCAACAAACGGCTACTTTGCATTAGCACAACTTGGCTAAAGATGCTATGCGGCTGTATACTGCTGCTAGGTTGGCTTTGATCATAGTGTTAAACGGAGCATTTAACTCCTCCATTCAGAGTTACCGTGAGAGAGTTTTGCCCTAAGTTCTTTTTTTATAGAAGGAAAATGCATAGTGCCGAAAGCATAAATCATCATTATTGGGGTGACCCTCTCTCCCTTATCATCCAGCAACACACAGCCGCTAGCACGGCGGTAGCCTCCTAATCTTAATATTTAACTTGTTTATTCACATGATTATTTAATACATAATGTATCTAATGTGATGTATTTATTTCATGTACTTCATATTTAACACATTGGCCTGTTTTTTCATGTTTAATGTTTATCACGGTCAAACTCTACACCGAAGGGGCTGTTTTCAAAGTTGTTCTGAATATTCAATATACTCTTCACATAGTGTGGATGTAGTTCAATGTGATGCCAAAATAAGATATAGAATACTTTTATTTAATATGTGTGAATTAGTTTTTAAAACGCCATAGATAATGCACGCGTCAGTGGTACTTCTCTTCCAAAATGACAAGCAATACTGACAATATGATTTCAGTCAAGTTAATTCCCATCTTTTGAAACAGTAGTTTGGGAGGAAAACAAAACTGAAGATCAACTTAATAATTGCTTTTCCGGAGACAAATGGAGATAGCTCAGCTGTCGCCACATGGCACTAAAGAAGTATGAAACATTAATTGATGTGTGTTTGAAAGCCTAGAAAAAGCTCATAAGTGGACCTTAAGTGGATTTTTCTGGCCGTGGGTGAATTACAGCTTGAGTGGACTGCAGAACGGCCTTCATGGTTACAACAAAGCAACACAGCCAGCTACCGAGCCTCAATATGAAGATAACGTTGCCCTTCAACTGAACCCAAATCAGCTTTAGTTCTCAATGGGGCATGAATCATCTAAACCCCTGATATGTGACAGGTTGGAATAAACATGGGCATCACATCTGATGGTGGTGGCAAATCATTTAAAACCATCACTGATCAATTCCTCTAAATTGATTATCCAGCTATTAATTAGAGGTAATCTCAGTTTAGATCTCTTTCCACTCGCTCTTATTCCTTTGGTTCATACAGACAATGACTTGTCGCTACGGTCCTTTTTGTTACAGCCTACATGAGATGAATGTTCTAATAGTCACTGTACGCATTGGTTTCAGATTAGTGAAAACCATCGGTACCCAATGTGGAAAATATCTTGTGAGAAATATTAAAAGTTTTATTTGAATGTTTGTTGAGTTTGTGTTTTTCTGGTAATCAGAAACTTACCAGTGAGAAAACGCGTTAATATGGTTGGCTTTATGGTGTAATCCAGTAGGTGGAGTATAGAAACAACAAGTAGACAGTAGGTACAATATTAGGGACAATTAGATTCCCCCCAAAAAGGCCTTTATTTTGACATTAACTTACTCTTTAACTTCGTCAGGCAGATAAAGTTGTATTTATAACACAAAAAGGGAAAGATGTATGAGTTGGTTACATGCAATTACGCATATCAGACATCTTCATTATCAAACTCAAATCCCCATTGGCTCTGAACAAGGTTAGAATACACACAAACACAAACAACACATAAGGTAAACATTGGAATTAATCCAAAAAAGGAACAAACTGTTAAACCTTCAAGTTCAATTTCAAAGATCTTCATTTAAAATAACACTGAAGTAACATTAAGTTGATTGAGTCTATGGCCCACTGATCAAAGTACTGCAATATTCATATATTTACAGTTTTGCAAACAATGCTGTACTACACTTTTTCTCCATTGTATACACATGACCTATGAAATGAACTATGAACACAAATCTGAAAAGGGAGAAAAGGCCTTTGCTGTGCACCATGGTAGAATGAGCCAACAGTAGACGTTTAACACGCTTGAACACATTCAAAGGTCAATGATGTCGTCCGGACACCCCGTGGGAGCCGTGGCAACGGCGAGGACAGTATCTCCATCTGGCTCCCCGGCCACCAACGTGACCAATTATATTCGGAATGCACGACCAAGTCCGCGTTTCACATGTGAGTGACATCACCTCCCCCCAGTCAGCCGAGCATACCAATGGACATATAACTAAAGAGTGTGAACATCCTGCATGGCCAATGAACATAAGGAACTAAAAGAAAACAAACTGAGAGCTCGTGCCATTATTCTGCCAAAGGTTGTACTTCATTTGTATCACATTCATTTGGAATGACCAAACCAAATAACAATTTATTACAAAAGCAACCGTTTTGATGCATAATATAATTCATTTCCATTCACATTTTACCATCTGATAAGTTCCCTTGGTTGTAGATTACATGCTGTGATCACTTGAATGGTCGGAGGTGTCTTTTTGAAAGCATGCTCCCACGTCCCCGGCGTGGTGCACGTCTCCCTCGTTCATGCTGTATGGGGAGACACCGGAAACGTACAGGATGTCAGCGGAGCGGATGTGGACATGGCTCCACAAACACACCGACCTGCCCTCCCTTTCCGCTCCGAAAAAGACAGGATGTTGGCATTCGGCGGCCTTCCTCGGCGGGCCGAGGTGGGGCTTTAACCACCAAAAGGACCGTGTCCATCTTTCCTTGCGACAAGCGGCTCTGCAGCGTTTCATCGGGGTGGCGGCGGGTACCTGCTTGAGGGCCCGCACGCACAAACCCACTGCGAAAAGTAATCCGGGCATCGATTTGACCGAGAGGAGACAGTTGGGGGAATTTCGTTTAGCATTCAAGGTTTTCACATTCACAACGTTTGTGATTTTTTACTTTTTTTCCATTGTACTTGCAGGGCCCACAGGTGAGGAGGCTCTCAGCGATAGCAGACCTCTGACATCTCCATGGCCAGCTCGATGAGTTCTCCTGCGTCCTGACAGGAGCCGCAGCAGTTGCAATCCATCTCCAGGTTGTAGTTGCAGCAGTCGTTTCCCTGCTGGTCGCTGGCGGCCGTGATGTATTTGTACGAGGGAAAGCAGCGACCCACGGCCAGCTCACACGCATCCAATAGCAGAAGCATGAATTCGTGAAAGCGACAATGCAGGCAGGCGAGAAGAAGTGCTGCACACGCATCTGGTGGTAAGAAGGTAGAATAACACAAGAGAAAAAGAGGTAGAGGTGGTAAGGATTAACCATTTTCTGGTTAATAACGCCACAAATCCAGGGATTCTCAATTTCATCAATTTAAGGAGTTGAACAATACCGCCACCGCCAGTCTGGCACGAGTCGTCCGAGGAAAAATCACTGCTGCTGCTCTTCAACTTGTCAGAACCAACGGAGAAGCTTGATCCAGCCCATTCGCTGCCACCCAGGGGATCACGGGGAGTGGGATCGGTGTCCGGCTTTTCCGGTTCTTTCTCCGATATGGTGCTCAGCCTGCACGCCCCGCTGACCAGCTTGCCCGCCATCTTCCGAGGTGGATTATCCATGACTGGCTTAGGGATGCTGCCTTTTTAAAAAAACAAAACAAGGAATAACTTTGGTAATAAATCATGCAAATTCAGCGAGCACATCAGCACAAGCTACTCAGAATGTGTTTGAGCGAGTTTTAATAATTCAGAGTACCATTAACATGCGGTATATCAGGGAGGTGAGACCTCAGCTGTCTAATGGAGGAAGCTTGCTCAATAAAACTTCAGCGAGCAGAAATTATCGATTTGCAAGCTTTTATTTGGATCTAGTTTCCTCCACTGAATAGGCCAGGAGGAAAATATACTTCTCCGCTGACATTTGACATGCAGCACAGACATCAATCAGTTCTAAACGCAGTTCTATTGTAGCGGTGACTAACAATAACTTCACCTGAGCAGTAGAGCTGGATCCGACACGGAATACACAACAGCAACCTACCGTCAGACTCATGGTCCTCTGTTCTCTCAAGCTCGATACCGTCCTGATTATTCACAGGGAGCTTTAAATGAGCTGTCATCTTAAAAGTGGAGATACTACAGAGTGAGACACACATGCAAAGCACTGCCTTAATCAAAATAACAAATAGTCAATAACTTAACTAAAGACAGACAGCAATAAATCCATATTGCAAGACACTAAGGAATCGTGCAATAAATGTGCATGTTTATTGGAGTTCAATGATTAATTCTGCCAAATATTTTAATTTTTTAGATTACCTGTCTGTACTGGTAAATATCCAACTGTGTGATCGGTGGCATCTGCAGCTGTGAACTCCCTGTGAGCTCGAGCGCCTCCCATCAACCATGCACACACCCACATCATGAGCACACTCCACATCAATCAATACTCGCCAATCAGGAAGCACAACTACAAGTCATTGACACATAACGCATAGAAGACGCATTCAATTACGGTCGATAGAAAATCAAGCACCTAGATGCAGTAAGTAAAGCTGGATGATAAGCGTGCAACATTAAGGTCTACATAACGTGATCTTACCGCAATGTATCATGTTGCTTCCAACCCCACAGTGGTCTGCTAACGTAACAAAGGTGAAAGTAGATCATTTATTAAAAAGGAAATGCCACAGTAACAATCGGCCTATTTGCCATTAAGAAGTCATTACCGCTGAATGTCTTAATTTCATTATATAAAACACTGCTCACCAACGAGGAATCATAGATGTGGATAAAGGGACACATACACAATTCACATTTTTCATGAGGGATTTATTATTCATAAAGATGCATTGTTTTACAATTGTGTTAAATCTATATTTTCTACGCTTACAAGCTCAATTAGAGCGGAATTCCGCAATGTTTATGGAAGGGGTGAAAAAGACCAACAAGTATAAAGAAGCTACACATTCTTTTCATCAATTGATTTGACCTTAAATACAAATATATCAGATCACGTAGGAGGTGAACATTTTCATTTTCAAAGCAACATTTAATTTCTTCTACAAATCTTTATATATTATAACTACTAAAATAAAAATCAGGTAGTGAGGCCCCAATATAGCATAATGTAGCTATACAGAATCTATTCATTGTGAAGTGCTTTTAATGTTCCTTTTCCTTTGGCTTCTCTGCTCATGGTCCTTTAGTTTTCACACGCGCACACACACACACACACACACACGTGTAGATAAACGTATATCAATACGCACACACATATATATAATATATATATATATATATAAATAAATAGTATCAATATATATATATATATATATTGATATAATATATGTGTGTGTACATATACATATATATATATATATGTATATATACATTAAAAATCATAAAAAGATGCATTTTTGTGAGGTCACCCTACTTTACAGAAAAATCCGAGCTAGATTGACAACAAAAAATAAGAAATGCCGATAAAAAAAATCCCCAAGAAGAGTGTGTTTGGTTAAGTAGATGAAGCAGTCGTTTTAGAACCCTGTGAGAGTGAGAGCTTGGACCTCGCGGTCAGAGAGAAGGCACTTTGTTGAAGTGAAGGTGGGGCCTCTGCGGGCTGCCGTGGTCTTCGTCGTGGTGCATCTCTGGGCTGTGGCCGTGCTCGTCCGTGCTCTCCGGGGACTCGTAGGGATAACCTTCACAAATCTCCTCGTCTTCCTGCTCCTCTTTAATGCTGGTTTGATAAACAAACCCCAGAAAAAAAAAAAAACATAATCAGGACCCGTTATCACATGATTGCAATCAATCACAGCTCAGCAAAGGGGAAGCAGCTCTGCAGCAGACACTTACAAAGCTTGAGGAGGGGACTGTGTTGCGCTGCTGTCACTTTGGTATCCAGATCCATTAGCTAGAGCTCCATTCATCTGCTCTTGGAGAACATGAGACAGGGAGTGAAATGGGATGCTGCCCATAAAGGCCGGGTTGTACAGGGAGTTGTTGCCGTCTAGACCGCCACTCTGAAAACGTTAACATTACAACATTGCATCAACACACAACGGTATTCAGCTGTGAAATGCCTCATGTCGTACAAGCCTGTATATTGATTTATTATATTACCTGAGGAGCAGACCCAGCCACGTTCTGATGGTTCTGGGAGTTTTTCAGTAGAGACCTAGAAGTGCAGAGAAGAAACCAAAAGTCATTCTCAGTTTAGTTTCTTTAGCGTTTTTTCTGTTTACTTAACACAATATCATGGGTGGAGCCGTTGAATGCACATTTAGTGACCCTTTTAGCGCGGCCTTGTTTAACAAGACGTCAGTTGCAAACAAAGAAACAATGTATTTTAACTTCTGAAGCAGACATTATCTGAAATGTGTGACATGTCACGGTTGAAAAAGAAAATACAAAAGAACGTAGAGATTTAAATCTGCAACCGTTGCATATGGAGGAAGGGGGAACTGGACAATGTAAGTTACAACAGTAACTAACGAGGGAAAAGCCGGGTCGGATATCCTAAAACTACTTTCTCTGTGAGCGGCTGCCAACATGCACACCGCACTTCCAGATCCCTTTGTTTCATGAAATCCACGGACGTTTAAAGTTTGATTAACTGTGGTGAGTACAGACTAGCCAACTAAAACCACCAACCATCGTTTCAAGATTTTGGTTTTGTGGAAAGCCCCTTTGTCCGCAGAGGCGTCGGTTTTCTTCGCTAAAATCTGATGTTGTTTGTAGCACACTCCGGCTTAGCCTGTGCATCTTGCTTACAGTAAATATTGTGTGTACTTTAATAGGTGGAGTAAGAAGGTCAATAGCGTCGGTCTTATCTGAACTTCTGTTCTATCCGAAAGCGCCGGCTTCATGTCCGGCACCTACCCGTTAGCGGCCGCCTTCTGGGGCCGTCTCCTGTGGAACTCGATCTCATCTACGGTCCACACTGCTCCCTTCACATTTTCCAAACGGACGAAGCATTTATGGAGGCTGAGATTGTGTCTGACGGCATTCTGGAACACGGTAGAAAGAAATAAGGATATTAGGACTTGCATCAAGTACGGACTTTGAACATTAACATAAATACCACCAAATGTATCCGACGACTTTTCCTGTTTTATATGTTACTATCCAACGAAACCGTGAAAAGTGTCGTGCAGTTTATACCTTCCAGGTAGCCGCATTGCGCCGGAAGTATGCAAAGTTTCTTGTGAACCAGTTGTAGATTTCATTTAGTGTCAGCTGATTGCGAGGTGATTCAAAGATTGCCTGAAAGAAAGAGCATGCAAGGAATTGTTATAATTGCGATACAAATAAAGGATCTGCTCCATTCAGATGTGAGCACGTTACCTGTCGTATGAGAGACGCATATGTAAACGGAGGTCTAACTTCTGTGCTCAAGTAGAACTCCTTATTATCAACTATATCTGTGGAATGACAGTATTAAAAACAAATATTATTTTATTGGAAATAAAACATTTTCTCCAATTGTGGAAAGAAGAAGCAGCATTCAATAAATAAAATTCTCTGTGACTCTCTGAACTTATTTTAGGCGAGACATGCTTCAGCTTGAAAACCTACAAAAAGGTGTAAAAGAAGTTGTGGTTCCTGAGCTCACCGTTACCTTGGCTCACCGAGCGGCTGTATCGCCGCCGCACAGGGGGCCCAGTGAACACGCTATTGGGGGGAGTGAGGACCGAGGGGGGTTCAGAGAGCGGCGTCATGGGCGTGGACGGTGCTGTGGCACTCTGAGACAAACTTATAGGAGGCGAGCTCTTGGGCAACGTTGCCTGAGAGAAGGACACGTTGGGCACCAGATTCACCTGGGAAGTAAACAGTAAACAGCCACGTCACTACGAGCCCGATTACGATTACGTGCTCGTTCCAACGGAAGGAAGCGGGTACTTACAGGCTGCGCTGCGGGTTTGGATTCAGAGGACTTCAGATGAGCCATCATAGCCTGCAGTCGCTCTTTGTCCTTTCTTAACTGTGACAGAGGAGAAGACAGAAATAGAGGTGGACGGCCGGTGAATTCAGAGTGAGTGTTAGATGACAAAATCACAGTCTGTGTCGCTTTCTAGCGTTCTGAAAAGTGCAATTATCCAAAGACATCACTTCTGTTTCCAGCCCTGGTGTGAAAACACGCCACCACTGCAACAACTAGTCATGCATTCGCTGTCGAGAGTTTTTGCAAAGCTCTTCCTTTCCTTTTCGATAGAACTGGAAAGGAAGGAAGAGTGACTCCAGTCTGCTTTGTCATTGTTACGTTATTTCTAAATTCAAGGGCTGTTACTAAACTGAAGATGTTTCATCCCTTTTGTAGTTTTATTTTTAAAATGAAATATGGCTCATGAAAAAAAAATCAATCAAATGCGTACCTGCAGTTCCAACTGCTGAACTACTTGCATCTGCACACGGCACTGTGCCGTGCTCTTGTCATCCAGTGTATGTTCACCGTCCAAATGTCTGCAGACGAGCACAATCAGGACACGCGTTAAAGAAACCATGTGTTGTACAGGCTAAGAAAAATAAATAAAGACATCAACATTTGCTTTCATCATTAACATTAAGTATCAGCTGTACACCACAGAAACAGGAAACCACCCGATAATAAAATAAAGAGGAAATAATAATTGTAACTGAAGGCTCGGATGATAATGTGACATTTAAACATCTTGTGTATCCAAACACATTTCTTTCCTGTATTGAATATATTTACTATATGAAATTGTATGTAAAGTTTCACCACTCACTTGAGAAATGACTGAAAGTCTCCGAAGACAGTTTCACAGCCGGGCCATTTACACATTCCATTTCCATACAGCGCGTGGCTATTCTGTGCGTTTTCATCCAGTGACCCTCTGCAACACAGTACAAATCCGCCATGGATGAGACGCCTGGGAGTCGACACGTTGGGACCGCTCAAGAAACTAAAGTTCTCCCCGGACAGTGTGATTTGCCAACGCACCTTTCTGTCCTCTTCAGGAGAGCGGGATGATCGTTGGTGGTCGACTGCTGACTGGAGGACTCTCTGGTGTCTCCGGCAGGCAGGATGCTGCCATTCTCACAGCCTGAAATGCAAATATAAATAAACTGGTGTTAAAACGCACTTGAGTGCCACTTTGTTTGCCAGAGTCGCTTTTTTAAACTCGTGCATCACCAACGGAAACGTGATGAATGTGCATGAATGAGGATTGTAAATGTTCCTAACTAACGCCCCAATAATACCACACAAGTCTATGCTCCCTCTCACTGTAGACGAAATCTGTTTGTTCAACGGCTCTCTGCTTGAATGCAATGTGGGAGAATCGTCGTGGTCCCCTTGCCTCGGTGTTTACCTGTAAGTGCGATGGGGGTGGCGGGGAGGACGGACAGCAGGCCCTGTCTCTGCAGGTTGAGGAGATGTTGCTGCTGCACCTGAAGAAGCTGCTGCTGGATGGCGATCTGCTGGGCTGTCAGCTGGGACACAGAGACGACACAATAAAGGCCTGAGCCGCTCTTCGCTCTGTGTGCAGCTCAGACCGGGAGAGAAACGGGTCTGATGTAAACCCATCCCTCACAGACAAACTATTTACAGGGGCTGAACGTGTGTGACACACACACACACACACACACACACACACACACACACACACACACACACACACACACACACACACACACACACACACACACACACACACACACACACACACACACACACACACACACACGTCAGGTGCTGTCAATCACGTAACATAAAAAGGCAACTAGCGAATGCCATCAGCTATTTAAAGATGAAACCTAGTGATCTTCTTTTAAGCAGAATATTGTCTTCTGGTCCAAATTGTAAGCATAAACAAACATTACCAATGGAACAAATGCACATTTGGGGAAAACACGGTGACTTTCAGCCGGCAGTGTATGCAATTATTTTCGTCTTCTCCTCGAACACCTGCTGCCTCGCGCACTCTGCCAAGTGCGCACTACGTGTCATAAACGTCAGTTAATTGATGAGATCACACAAATACATGCGCACAAGCTGATGTTTTGTGTCGCACAGAATTGGACATTTTGAAAGCGATATTCCTGGCTGTAAGAGCAAATGGTTATAACACTAACTATGATTTTAGTTTAGTTTTAAACTGGCATTTAAGCTTTAGTCCTACGGAACCAAATCACTCCCGCCGCCGCTCATCCAAGAAAGAGTTATCCTGGTTACACAATGAATATGGCCACAATGCTCAACTATTATTGACCCGATATCAAAACACTACTAATAATGGACTTCTCATGGTAGGAGATGAAGCAAAGAGATGAAACATCACAGGAGACGTCGGCTATAATGGAAAAACAGTTACCTCTTGACTAACGATCCCAGCGTTCTTTTGTTGCAGCAGCTGGATGTTTAACTGCTCTTGCTGATTCTTAAAGACCTCTTGAATCTGTTGCTGCAGAAAGGTTGATGACATTTCAGTCAAACAAAAATAAAAGCACGGGGTTTGATGTGGGGCATGACTAATGCGTAACTAAAACATAGATTTACCTGGTGTAACATGAGTGCTTTCTGCTGCTGGAGCAGTGCTTGGAGCTGCTGAGGACTGAGGACCTGCTGCTGTGGGGTCTGTTGCAACTGCTGGGGGGCCTCTGCTGGTGGGGTCATCATGGATAATGACTCGGGAACCTGCATCATAGAGGACAGGAAACAACAAATGCTATTTAGAATCTATACCACAAAAAAACCCCGGTCACACAACAGTTTAGACGGGGGAGGTAATACACAGGAATATACAACAAAAGGTAGGCTGTTGTGCGTGTGTATATATGCGTGCAAGCTACATCCATTCAATCTAGTTGCTGTCTAGTGCAGACAATCAGTGTGTTTACATGTAAACGAGAAACCATATCTCTTTAATCAAGGTGAAGGATTAGAAGACGCAGCTTCCTGCTGGAGTAACTTCATTCATTTGTCTATAAATATGTGCAGAGTTTCTAACGGTGATTTTAACACGCGCGCGCACACAGGAAAGGTTTTACTGCGACTGCCGGGTGACAAGTAAAAAAACATGTAGTGGTGAATCCAAAACGTATTAAACCCAAAGTTCAAGTGAGAGACGCTCATACACTTCCACAGCCGGACAGTAGGTTGTTTGTGAAAACACAACCATACCACCGCCCTCTACACACACTTTAAATCATGTGTCTCTCCCACACGAGAGTTTGTGATCTCACTCAAGAGCACCATCAGTCCCACGTCAAAGCAAATATAGGCCTGCCTTGGTTACCATGGTGAAATCTAGAGTAATAAGAGTTTACCTAAATGCTAAATCTCAACACGCGTTAGAGAATGAAAGAAATGCTTTGCTGTAATAAGGTGATATCACTGTATGTTTTAAATGTAAATTCATTTCTTCTCTGCCACTGACGTGATTTATCAAAAATGACCAAAGCAATGAGTAGAATATATCAAATAATGTCCACTTAAATTAAAATAACAGTGTTACTCCTCATTATTCTCAGATCAATGGTCAACCAGGCGTTATAAACTTCTGCCCTCCTGCTATTTCTGCTAAAAACAAACCCAACAACAACGGCTGTCTTAGACTTAGGGGAATTAGAACTCCATAACAACAACAACAACCACCACCACCAGTGCTGCAATAACAACAACAACCTCCTCTGCGAGGCCTGCAGCAATTGCCACACCATCCCCCTCCCTGTCAAGCCTCGCGGCTCAAGGGATGTTTACCGTAAACATAAACGGAGTAATCAAAATCGCACAGACATATAAATAATGAATTTTAAAAAAAAGCATACAGAGCCTGTTTATGAAAACAGAGCTTGAGATTCGGATTTTAATTAAGGACTGAACCACAAACAAACATTTCTCTCCAAGGCAGAGTCTGTTTTGAATCAGGTAAACAAACTGACAGTGAATTTCACACAGGCTTTGGGCTAACAATCACAGATGACTGCCTTCTACTTGTCCTTTCTTATGAAATCCAAGGCTCCAGAGGTGGCCACCAAAGCAATGAGAACAGGTCCATCCCACAAACACAGCCAGTTGGCCCCTCTGCTTTTCTGTGGACACCATCAACACAACAACAGCCTCTGCACTAATCCCCGTTGCCATGGCAGCCGGCAAGTCCAAACAACTTCTGTTGTTGTTATTGTTGAAAGTCATACCAGAGAGGGACCGAGTGTAAACACAAATCTGGTCCCGCAAGACTGGTCTTGTGAACTCGGAGATGACTGACAGCAAATAGGATCGTCGACTGCTTTCCCTTACGGGTTTACTAACGCGCCCCGACGGGTGCGGCTCAAGGATTACATCACGACTGTGGTGTTAAAATAAGAAATCAACAGATACAATGACCACAAAAGGTGCAACATTGTTTTCACTGACACATTTCAGCTGTGCAACTTATCGAAAGCTACTTCACAAAGCAACACAGAACGAGTCGGAAAAACCAGACAGACCGCCCGTCCGTCCATCTTTGCACTGAAAAAACAAATGCCGTTCAGCAACAACAGTCTGCCTAAAAGAGATAATGTGCACATGAATACAACCAACAATATAACACTGATCCCTCCGCCCAGCAGGAGCTGTGCTCTTCCTCCCTCCCCTGCTCCACCCCTCCCCCCACCCAGTGTTCCCCGTCAGCATAGATAGAAATCACAGTGTGGAGAAACAAGTGAGACAAGTGAGATACCGTTACATGTGAAGATAGCGGAACAAAAGCACCCCACATCATCATATAACAAATAAAAGATATGATGTTTGGCTGTACAGAAATTCAAATGCACCGTGACCAAATGGGATTCACGTTGGAGGTGAAAGAAAAAAAGGGCTGCATCAGCTCGGATGCATATTTCCGCGTTGAGGACGAACAGTTACGCATGCCCCCCTCAGCGGAGAGGCACCCAAGTGCAAAAAAGAGAAGAGAAGCTTTTGCCTCTGGGCAGCTGTTCATTGCGTATGAGTCAGATCATTTCTTTTAAATCAATAGTTTTGCATAATCAAAATTCCACGGCCCAAAGGGAATGCCATAAACTAGTAATAGTAGTAAAAAAAAACATGCAAGCGGCCTTGGGGGAGATCTTAAAATGACTATTTACAGTCAGGTGCAAAGATATCCAGTTTTACTAGAATGCAAAAGCTGCAAGGCTCTTCACATTGGTGCGGCTGGAGACAGGAGGCTGCTGAAACGTTGGCTTGGAAGACGAATAAAGCCAAGAAGTAAATCAATATGGCTGCAGCTCAGCTTCAACATCGTGTCGCATTTTAGTGGAGTATGCAAATACTAAACAGATCACAATCGTTGTGAAGAAAAGAAAGACGTCAAGAAAAGGAAAAAGGAAAAACCACTGACCTGTGGTGCCTCTGGAGGAGGAGTCTGGCTGCTCCTCACTCGACTCCCATTCTCACTATTATTCCCGTTTTCTGTCTGACTGGCTGGAATGATGTGGCTTGTTGGTTCTGACCCAGACTCATGCATCTGGACTTCACTGAGCTGAGAAAGGAAATGCATATGTATAGAAATAGATAGATATAGAAAGCCATTTACTTTGCATGGTGATAAGGTCTCTTCTCCACCACACATCTAGCGATATATGACTTTGAAGTTAACCAAAATGATTAATCGTATAAAAGAAACAATTCCTGTCTAGAATGTAAAAAGTGAGCAGAATAAAAGGTGAAGAACTCTCCTGTAGCTCTGCCCACCAAGACAAACATTCTCCTCCACAAGTGAGGGAGGAACATGTTAGGTCTATTTGTTGAATAACCTAGTGCTGCCATGACTACTGTAAACACAGGGGCCCTGGGTCCATGTTTATGTGCAAACATATCTTCCTTCTGGAACAATTTACCATTAACCAGGTGGTGCGATAAACGGCCATGGCAGGCAGCACAATGCACAAGTAGGCTTTTATGTATACAGCTTGGGCGTGTTGAAGTCAAAAGCTAAGCAGCATAAACAAAGGTAAATAAAGAAGGCAAACAAATAATGTGAACAGATGGAAAGCTACACAGAAAGGCTCAGATGAAACAGACCACGTAGCGTCAAGAATAAGCCCAAACTACATTCCCATATTCAAATCAATACTTTAAATCCACCAACCAGTTAAGCACCACTGGGAGCCAACATCAACATTTGGGCAACATCTGAAAGATGACGTGATCAGACTTCCCCTTTTGACCAAAAACTGAACCACTGGTCAGCCATAAACAAATCAAAAAAAAGAAGGAAAAAAAAGTCCTGTATTTGAGAACGACTAACAGATGAGGACGGAATAGTCAGTTATGTCCAGCATCAGCTCAGTGTGTAGGTGGATATGAGACCTAAAAACCTAATCTAATCAACACAGGCAGTATGCTGGTGAGGTTTCCACTGTTTACTTGTGCTTTCAGGATCAGGATTAGTTGGAAAAGACAAAAGGGCAGTGTTTCCTGTAGACATTTTTGAAGATGTCTGGGGAGATTTGGGTTGTATGAACCAGAAGATGACGAAATCTGTTCCACGTCAGCTTCATTATGCGCTATTTCAATAACAGATCCTATCGGAATATTGTTGGAATGAGAAAATTGAACAGCGGCACCCCCGGGAAACGGTTTGCAGGATGGACTGTGTAAATAAGCCGATGGCGAGTTGTTTTTATTTGTATTTAAAGAGTTCTCACCATGGGGGCAGCGCTCCGGCAGTGAGGGGGCACCAGTCTTCAAAGAATGCAGAGGAAACACTGCAAAGGGGCCTGGAAAGAGCAAAAGAGTCACAAAACACACCCTCTCGCTTTAAGAATGTGGTTTATGACAACTGGTTTCACAGCGACCCACAAGTCAACTATTGACTGTAACAACAAATTGTTTCTATGAGGATTATTTGCACAGGTTTTTTTTTTTTGCTGTAGTTGCATAATGGCAAAGAAATAGCGATCCCAACTCATTAAGAAACAGCTGTTTGACTTTTCCTCCCCCATCAGGACTACGTTACATTACGTATCAAAGCACTTGTCGTAGCTCATCGATAATAATCGACCAACGATCATTTGATCTGGGTGGGATTCGTCTTCTCGGCCAGCGTGATCATTCTCAACGCGATCGTCCGTGGACGCAAGAACCTACAAATGTTGCACACGTTTGGTTAATATTCTTTCAAGTTAACTCGACCCTCCACATTTCCTCCCCCCTACAGTGCGCAGCTAAACCATCCCACGTTTCTCTGCACGTTGTCTCACGTCAAAAAGGCGCCGCCGGTGTCGTATCGTCGCCTCCACGCGAGCTCAGGGATCGATGGAATCGATGCCCGTTTACCGCGACCAACGGCCGTTTTGGGGCTTTAGCCGCGGCCGTCTCCGCGGAGAGCTTCGCACGTGTCAACGAGTTGGCTCGCATGTAACCGCCGTCTTTAATAACCCGCGTTGAAGAGCGCGAGGAACAGTTTTTCGGAGCGACCTCGCGGGAGACGTTTTAGCGTTAACGGCACAACAAAAGCTAGCAGTCCATCCCCACGTTAGCTCCCGAGAACCGTTCGTCGCTTCTCGGGCGTTTTAACACCCGGCAATTTTGTAATTCGCCTAAATTGTTCACGGCAATCATTCGGTTAGTGCCGGCGCGCTGTTGAATCGACGTTTACTCACCGAGTTGTGCCCGGGCCGACAGTCTTTGACTCGGGGTGGCGTCTGAGGGGCAGATTCTGGAGCACTGCCTTCCTCGGTTACGAGCTAGCCACAAGTTGCTAACAGAGGGCGTGGCTTATGTAAAAGTAAACATAGGTGACGTCAGACGCTAGACTTTTAAGTTCACATAAACTAGTAAGTAAAATAACATTGTAGCTTTTAGAAAAGGTCCAATGAACGCATTTGATGCGAATTGGATAATTTTGATAGCTGAACGAACATTTTTGAGAATTATAGAGGAAATCGCAGTAGAAATGACGCTTCATTAAAAAAAAAAAATAATAGAAATAATTTATACACCGGCTTCTCAGTCCAGTCCCAAGGCAGATGCGCAGAACAGTGTCCCTTTATCACCTATTTAGATTTGGTATAGAAGGCAGGCTGATTAGAGTGAAACCTACATGGTGCATTTGCGCTCACTACATATATTTATGTAATTACATTATAACGTTTATTGGCAGTCATTGTAAGGACAACATTGCCTTCCCGAGCAGATGAAATTGGTATGTTCTGACTCTTCAAATGCAAATCTTGTAACTATTTCTTATGTCTGTGATACAACCACGAGGGGGAGACATTTTCCTTCTGGCCGCCATTAAATGGTTGCTTCCTATTTCTAGTTTAACAAAAGAACCTTCAGTGCTTCAGTTTAAAGTGGACTGTCGATGTTGTTCATTTAGCCAGACATTTTTTGCATTAATTAAAATGTGTGCAATGCCTGCTGTATAGTCAAATCCCCTGAGATGGTATTTTTCTAATTAACTTATATTTGATTCAATACTAAAGTCCCTGGAGGAAATGAAAAATTACCGGAGTGGCCCGAGGGCAAACACCTGACAATTGTTTAAAAAAAAACTGGTCAAAAATGTCCAATATAATATGCAGCTTTTGAGCCAGTACAATACTGATAATCTCATCACACAGTCAGTTAGTACTCCAAACAGTAAAATATAGTAGTTTAGGCATCTTTATTTTTTTAAACACGTGTAAAACTAACAGAGAAATATGACTATAGACAATTCCAACATGCTGAATACGGGCAACATTCTAAACTGCTGGTAAACGCAAGGCACCGTCCAAGATCAACATTCAGTGACAAAGTCTGAGATCAGAAGTGACTGCTAAACAAGGGTACAGTACTCCCTTACCCTACAGTATTTGCTCATATTACATAACTACAGCAGAATAACGGGAAAATCTGTGGTCTGAAATCCTCCTGTTAATATTCTTTAGTGGTGAATCGAAGCAAAGACACCAGCATCATAAACACGTGAACATTGGATAAGATGGAGGAATTATAGCGGCATTCTTTCTGTGGGTTTTCGATGCAGACCCCTTAGCTAAATGTGACCTCAACTGCTCTGCTCTATGCAGCACATAATAGTCTGTCTGGTACACCCTGTCAAACACAAACAAAGGGGTAACATGCCTCTGATGTGAAGTGGTTCAACTAATTCTCCTAATGTGATCATGTTTTTGTTTTTTACTAACGCAAATATAGAATTTTACATTACCACAGAAAACATCTTAAAAGCTATAGACTTGAGGGACACACGTAAAGAAAACAAGTTAGTCAGAAATGGTTTACTATTGCTGCATTAACTTTTTCCCGTTATTTGACCCTGCTTCAATGGTTGCATCACAACCCCGATCCGTACACAGACAGCGCGAGAGGCCCCGAGCAATTCCACAAGGAAAGTGACATTTAAACCCACATCTTCTCCCCTCGTTTCTGGAATCGCTCTCCGTGACAGATTCACATATGTGTTGGTTCCTTTTGTATGGGGACCGATTTCGTCCGAGAAAAGGGCAGGCTTCCATAATTCTATTTTAACACGGGTAAAAAAACAAAAAACAGATCCCAAACAATTTGTCACTTACACATCTCAAACCACGACCAGAAAGATAAACAAAAACAGCTTTTCATTTCACCGGAAAAGGCGACACAAAACCAAAAGGGATTTGGTCTCAGTTATCAGTTTCTCTCTCTCACACACACACACACACACACACACACACACACACACACACACACACACACACACACACACACACACACACACACACACACACACACACACACACACAAAAAAGTGCTTGATTTGGGGTAGATACTTGAACAAAATGACAACCACAACACTGCAAATTCTACCAAATAGAAATGATTGCATATATTTCTCAGCATTTACTCTTGTTGATTTGTGGACTGAGATCATTTTTTGTAACATATTCCTGAAAAAAAAAAGTGCAACTCTCATATATAATCATTCCAGCATACTAAAACATTATTTTAAGCGACACTATTTTGGCTGTAACACAACAGAGAAGACAGCTCACTAGAAAAGCCTTGTATTGTATTGTTAAGATAAAGGTCTGCTTTATGCAACTAACCTTCCTCTTAGATCCCAAAAGGAGATTTTAATCAAAAGACATAGCTCTGTCTGTGCTCAGGAAATGGCACCAAATGCCATAATACATCTAAAAAAGCTGGCATGTACATGATGATGTTGTTTTGGTTGAGGATTTGAAAAAACGTTGAAGTATAAAAAAACATACAAACACTGACACAAACTAAAAGGTTTTCGCAGTAGACTAAAACTTTCAGTCATTATAATGAACTACACCAGTGCTCTGAAGATGGTAAACTCCATCAATTGAAAATGATAACGGGCCACATGTTGAGGTAACAAAGATAATTTTGTGAGTAACTATAAACTCAAAACGGCCCCAAATATTGTTGAACATGTTCAGCATCGATAAAACATGTACAAGATCGTCCCGACGTTCAAAAATGTGCTAATGCCGTCGACCTCCCTCGAAGGCGTGATGCTCCTCGTGTGCTGAAATGAACCAAAAAAGACCAATGACTCCCGTTGTGAAGCGTAATGGACAAACGTCATGTCGTTAATATTCCCTAGAAAATACTCACGTTTGTAAAACACAGCTTTGAACGGCGTTTGTGGAAGGAGCTCATTGATCCGCCCCAAGATGTTGGACTCGTTGGCACAAGAAGCGTTTCCGTTCCAGACCTGAAACACGTCTTCTCTCTCTCTCACACTGACGCTGACGCCGACGACTTCGTCGTCTGCAGGAGCGCACCCACACAATCAGATTAATGCTGTTTGGGTTTCGCATTATTCTGCAAAAAAAACCCTGCTTTTTCACATAACTCCATCGAGAAAATTTACCTGAGGCACAAAAGTCACTGAACTGCTCCCCAATGGTAGCCAATAGCAACTCCTTCCATACGGCAGACTGGTAATATGAAGGAAAACATTAAATAGTAAATAAGCAATGAGAAAATGGTAAATGAATGTATTGATTATGTCACTCACGGTGCATTCTTTGGGTACTTTCATCTTCCAAACACCCCCTTTGGCATTGCTGTCTTCTTCCCTGCAAACCAACAACCAAATTTTGAACATCTTCAAATACTATAAACGCGAGCATGCCTTTATCTTAAATGCAAACTTACCAGAGCGGTTTTCTCTCTCCTCTCATCAGATGATAGCTGCATCTCAGCGGCAGGTTAGAGACCCCGGGTATGTTGTTGTAAACTCTCCAAAAGTTCTACTCCAGGTTCATGGTGAGGAGAGGAAGTGGATTATTGGATTGGAACATCGTATCGGCGCAGGGAGGGCAGACCGTTGGGCTTGTTAATATTCAACATGTTATGAGGTAGAAGGTCACTGGCAAAGGTCTTTTCCTCATTGCTCTTAACCACACACACACACACACACACACACACACACACACACGAGTTCTCATCAAACAGTTGTGGGAATGGTTCAATAAAAAGTGTTTTTTTGAGCTTTTTAATGTCTTGTAATGAACACAATGACACGCAACAAATAACCTGCCATGCTAATTAGTTAGATCGTCTCTAATTCAGTTGTTACATCACATTACACAAAACAGCCTGTCACAGTAGAAGTAAGGAAAACTTGCTATTGACCTTTTCATCACATCCAGTACTCCTTCCTAAGCCCAAAACCCCCGAGTGCGGCACAATGTAAGACTGAGCCCAGTAGAGCGGTGCGCCAGTCTCAAGACTGTGAAGCGTCTCACCTGGACGGTGTCCACGGTGTAGATTTTCTTCAGGTTTGACTCGCACTCAGCGGCTGTTGCTCCTGGTAGAGATCTGACAAAAAAAAAAAAAAACAGGCACATTTAATTTAAGGACTTTAATTGACCTATTTATATCTGCTTGTAAAGATTTCAGGTCCTGGAACTTGACGTGATCTTTCATTACGGAGACATTGAGTTTCAGCGAGCTGCCCTCTGAGCAGACAGGTTATGTTGGGCTTTAAGCAGGAAGGGGGGTGGGGGGGGCTGATCAGATGACTAATAAGCCAGTAAACAACACTGACCCCATTTGTACACAGCACCCTCTGATTTGGATGATCGGGCTTCTGTAACTCAACGTCACCTGTGTTCACATCAGCTGTGATTGCTTAACATGAATTTTGAAAAACAAAAACGCTGGATCGAAGCGTTTGAATTTTAAATTGGGAACTTTGTGTAAAGCCAGAAGCGAGCTAAAGGTGTCAATCCAAAAGACAAATTAAAACTGCTTCACTGAACCATGACAAGAGAAGTGACACAACAACGTTGGTAACAACACAAAGGCTGAACTAAAAAGGGACCTTTCCTTAAATTAGGTCGTTATTTTTGCCAATACATTGTTTTAAGATCCTTCCAGTGGAGGATGATGTGGGTCACAGAGAAAACAAGTTAACTGGAAAGCTGCATCGACACCATCACAAGTAGTGTTTGTTGTCATTTTAATATATTAAAGAGATTTATTAAGGCGGTCTTTCCCTGTCATCGCAGTTACACACAGGCGTTGAAACATCCATAACGCTTTCTGATCTGCGGAGGCCAACACAAAGCAGGCCTGATGAATTCCTCACCTCCCTCCTTTGTTCTCAGGGAAACAGCCATCCGCAAAGGGTTCACCTTTTAACACTAAATATATATAATAATATTACAAATGGGAGGGATGAATACATAAAAAGAAGCGTCTTACCTATCTAGCCAGAAGGTCCAGGGTGAATGCAGAGGCAGAGTGTTGTTTTCCTTGTCGCTCGGAATGCTCATGTGGATGGTGTGCTCCAGCAGACTCGGGCCGGACGATGCGTTCACTTGTAATGCGGCTACTGGAACCGCCATCGTTAACCTCGCAAAAACCCCAATGATTGCGAATAAAAGAAGCGACCAGGTCTCTTGTGCAGATTTTGTTTTGTTGTTGCCAGGGACGTTAGACTTATATATAGGTCCGTTGGGTAAAATTAACCTCGATCAGCTGCTGACTCATTGGTCGCTTCCACCCGGTTTGTGCCCGTCACAACAACAGCCAACGATGACGCCCGCCGACCGCCTGCGACTTGTAACGTTAGAGCCATCCAGAAGTTTCTGTCACTGAGGTCGGCACATTATTTAACCCGAAACACAACCAGTTGCGCTATAAATATAAGAAGAATTTCAATTATGGCTGCCCGTTCCGTCGACACAAGCGCATCGAGGTGCTTTGTTGATCTCTCAGGTTGAACTGGAACGCATCTTCCGCAAATGTCAACACGTCATTTCAGACATGCGCAGTCCGATGCTCCACTTCCACTAGCTTTGTCGGGTTGCTACATGCTATATGCTAACTAGCGAGCGTTTCCTGCCTGTGACAGGACACAGCTATGGACATCGACGCGTTATCGGAGGCGTTTCGAGGTAATATTTAAGTTACTTTAAGTAGAGATTCGCTTTTTGACATCGGCGATGATGCTCACATAAAATAAATCTCAAACGTTTGCTTAGTACGTTTCGTGTGTTGCTATAACTTAACGTTAGCTTACTAACAAAGATGAACCTGTTAAAACATTTGAAGGAGGCACATATGGACGATCTGGTCTGCATGGGCTCGATGCTTCGTTAATATTCTCTTAGAGAAAGAAGTTGTTTATATTTCAACCGTTTATTTCCGTTCTGACAGTTGGAGATTATGTAAACAGCTAACGCTAGCTGGATAGCATCACGGTAACATGTTCATTTAGGAACTTTTACAAGAACTTTCACAGTTCGTTAACTGAAATGTATGTTTTAAAACTTTACGTATGTTTTTGCTTTTCTATTCAGAACATTTCCATTTGATTCATTCAATTTTAGCAACATTTTGATCATAGTCGGCGCATGATAAATGTGCCAAAAGTAACGATAGACTGAAACGAAACAAGATTTCGAGATTGTCCACAATGATTTCCGGATTATTATCCTCTCGTGTTCAAGTGCTTCTGTGTTGATTCGACACAACTTTCAACTTCGCGTCAAGGTTCATGCAGGGACACACATTGTTTGATTGGTGGGCTGTTTGGATCCCCGTTATTACCAATGAACTCATCTTTTTGTGTGTGTGTGTGTGTGTGTTTTATTTGTGAATTCACAGATTTCGAGAAGACAGGCAAGAAAGAGACCTGTCCTGAACTGGAGCAGTTCTTGTGTCACATTGCAAAGACAGGCCAGCCCATGTGAGTAGCTCACACAAAACATCACGTTTAAACTTGTCCAAATGTTCTCACGCAGCACTCAAGACCTTTTTTTGAAATTCCTCTATTCTGGCTTTTTGTAAAAAGTGTTCCAAGACTTTTGAATCTCTTGTTTGTGTGACGTGCAGACTTGCATTTCCGATATCTTCCAGGATCTCGTGGTCACAGTTCAAAACATACTTTGCGTTTAAGTTGGAAAAAGTCATGGACGATTTCCACGCTTCTACACCAGAACAGAGAGCGCGTCATAATCCCAATGTGGACTATGTTCCCTTTGAAGAGATGAAGGCGAGGATCTTAAAAATAGTGGATGGCTACAATGGGTGAGTGAAGCTGATGAAAGTGACAGCGAGATCCTCCTTGTGGCAGTGGCAAGTGGGTGGCAACTTTGTGACAGGCAGCGGCAATCGCCAGTAAATCAGTCCGCGTCACGACGGCACGCTGGGTGGGAGGAGCCAATTTTTCCCAGAAACAACTGTTATTTGTACGACAGGTCAGCTGCTGTAAATATTTAATTTTATTTAATTTTATTTAATTTTATTTGAGACACGTGAGCCCTCGTCTTCTTATTACAGAGGCTAATTTTAGGTTTGGACCGGCGGGTTCCGTGTAGGGGGTGGGGCTCTCAAGTTTGATGCCACCCACTTGCCACTGCCACAAGGAGGATCTCGGCCTTACTGGCTGATGATATGACACTTTACTTTTTATGCTTCCACACAGTGTTTTTTCTGTAACAGCCATGGTGGGACGGGCGTTAATGTTTGGCATTTTGCACCTTTTCTCATCAACCCCAGAAATCTCTTCTGAATTTTCCGTGTTGCAAAATAAAACCGTACGAATGAGGTCACCTTAAGTTGCCTCAAACGACAAAGCTGACAACGGCTCCTTTCCTCGGACGGATCCAAATTTGAGATTTGAAAACGTATTACTGTGCAAACCGTTTCCTTGAAATGAAGAAGCATATTGACAAAGAAATCATAAGTAATGATGTCCGTGACAAGCTGCGATGCGGGATGGTGCAACCTTTTCCCCTCATTCCGCTCCAGGGTTGCCACGTTTGGCAGGTGTTGATGGCTCTGCGTGACTAATCCTAAATAAATCTCTTGATAACGTTTCCAGAATCCCATTCACCATCCAGCGTCTATGTGAACTCCTCACGGACCCCAAGCGCAACTATACAGGAATAGATAAGTTCCTCATGGGTTTAGAGAAGGTGAGCACCGCGCTGCTTGTTGACTGCATGACATCACTAAAATGTTTTCACCCGAGATAAACGATATTGATGAGCTCTGTATTAAAATACAATTTCCGTGATTTTAAATTGAATTGTAATATATATAATTTCTTCTGTATTGCAGAATGTAATGGTGGTCAGCTGTGTGGGCCCCACATCAGAGTAAGTACAACAACTGTCGAGCTTTTGCTCCCACTTGCTCTGCTGGCTGCAGTATTTCTGTTCGGCTGCTTCTGATGCACATTGGCGGCTCCCTTGAATTCGCTCATTCAGACACACTTTCAAAGTTACAATTAACAGCCAGATGTTTTGTGCCTTTCTACTTCTTCCGAAGGAAAAATGGGGCATCCAGTGTAAACAGAATGAATGGAGTGATGTTCCCTGGTAACTCTTCCCTATATTCAGACAGGTGGGAGCCTTCCACAAATCTAAAATAGCCTCATACACCACCTAGTGGAACATTGAATTAGTGTCAAGTCAAATATCCAAAAATCCAACCAGGGTACCGCAAAGGCAGTCATCTCTTGCCTGTCCGTTGGTTTTTACAAGTTGTGCGGATTCTCCATCTTGTAATGTGACTTGCATAAGAAATGTTTGTTTTTTCCCCCCTTTTTTTATTTTTTGCAGCCGAAATGTAAACGGACCCGACACACCGAAACCGCTCAACCGACCGAAGTCGTCGCTGACGTCTTCCCTCTCCACAAACGGGCTCCCTGACTGTCCTGTCAGTAGAGAGCCAATCACAGAGGAGGTGGAGGAGCACCATAGCGGGTAATTGAAATACGTGTGGTGTGTGTGTATTATACTGTGTATTATACTTATTTTAAACGGAGGGGCAGTAATGACATGTATCATAAGCAGCATAATCTCTCCTTGTTTAAAATGAATATATGAGCTTCTGGTTCCTTTGATCTGAAAGTAAACCATTTACTGAACAGATTTTCTGTCCCTTTTTCCATGTGTGCAGTCATTCCTCGTCAGCAGAGGGAGAGGAAATCACACCGAACAGCGGGATTAAGAACAAACACCCGGCGGAGGAAGAGGAGGATTATGAGACTGGCGAGCACGAGGTGAAGAGGCTCAAGTTCGACGAAAAAGAAGAGGACGAAAGGGAAAGCGAAGAGAATGAGTCGTCCTGCAGAAAAGCGCCAGAGAGCTCGCCAGAGACACCGCAGTCCTCCGAGGACTCTGGTGGTCAACGCTACACAAGTGGAGCCTCTTGTGACACACGTCCTGCTGCAGAGGATCACGGTAAGAGCGAACTCGTCCTCACTTAAGCCGCCGTGCGTGAGTGAGTGTTTGGACCACTCTCAGATAGAACACAACACGGTTGTTTTCGCAGTCAGGTAGCATTGTGGGTAATGTAGTTGCTCGCTGACCAGGGAGAAAGGCCCATAAGAGACAAAGTCAGGTTTTGGCGTGTCAATTTTGACCGTCTTAGTGCAGTGCTTAATACATTATTATGATTTCCAGTGCATCCTCCTTTTGATTGATATATTGATATTTTTGACTGATGGAAGGATAAAGCAAACATTTAAAGTCTCATTGGGAATTTCCAATGGGCATTTCTCACCATTTTCAGACATTTCTTTGTATTGTATTAATAATGAAACTAACGGTTATTTGCAGCGCTAATGTTAACGTTGTCCACTCGGGTCCCCAGAGCCTAGTTGCACACGGACAGAACCATCTGAAAGGGATGAGGACTTGTCTGAGACGGGGAACGTCCACAGTGTGGAGGAGGACAGCACCGTGGCTCCGGACGCACAGCGTGCTCCATCAGAGACGCGCACGAGCTTCGAGGGGAATGAGGAGAGTTCTCGCAGCATAGAGAGAGAAGGTCCACCCGGCGACAAGCAGGTCCCATCTTCTTCTAGTTCACGTGACTTGACGACAGAAGCCAACACTGACAGTTTGAACAGCGCAGAGATTGCGACAGAGTCTGGGGAACATGTCTGTCCTCAAGCCCGGTCGGCAAACTGACTGGCTTCTTCTTTTTCTTCTTTTTTTTACACTGTATGATACCATGTAATGGGTCTATCTGTAGCACTGTGAACCTCTGGACTTCAAGACCAGGAGCAAAGTGAACCTTGATTCCTCACAGAAGGATCTTTTGGTCCTCTTCGATTTTAACTCGAGGTCACACACCGCCTGGTCTAAACTGGAAGGAAATGATTTAAAGACTATGGAGATTCTTTTCACTTTTTTTTAACCTCCCCCACAGATTTTTATATGAACAGTATAATTTAACCTTTGTAACTGAACTATCCGATAACTTCATTATTCTTAAGTCATTTGGCATGAATTCTGTAAAAGATACATTCGACGTTTTGAGTTGTATTGCGGCTTAAGCATTGTTGTTCTTTTTTTGGGATTGTGCGTCTCTCCTGTTTGATGAGGACTCATGCCATTAGGAATGTGAGATCCTTCTCTTTGCTTGTTCAATGACCAAGCTGAAAACGTATTTCTTACTAACATTATATTGCACTTGTTTGCGTTTAACCCTTGAAGGATGTGGAATATGTCACAGCTTTGCTTTATTTTGCTTTTATTAAGCCCAAGTTAACACACGTTAGTCCCCATTTGTTAAGATAAAATATTAGTTTGGCTCATGGGAAGCCATTCCTGCATCGAAATATTTCAAAATAACACAAGGTACATTTACACTTTCTGTATGTCATACATTAGTTGTACAAATGTCCCTTTTTGATAGCTTGGATTTTTTTACAGTGAGCATCTGTAAATCTGTTTTTGTAGACTTGTAATACGTGTCCACTGCCTCCACAGACCTGGTGATAGCTGGACACGGAATGCTGGAACTCGTGTCGTTCATGGGAGGCAATAAATGCTAAAAATGTGATGTATTCTCAGTTAATATTAAGGAGATGTGCTTTTCCCTTTTAGAAATATGAGGGCTGAATGAGGTCGCACTCAAATATGGGCGGATTATCACACCAGATTCCTCAACAGACAATATTATTCTCATCTAAAGCCCATTTCTGGACTACAAACTAATCCACTGCATTCCCATCATCATAAATGCTAAACCAACATGGTAAAAGTTAGAGCCTCTGAGCATCAACATGCCGCCATTATACCTGCCAGCATTTAGCTCGAGCACAGCCGAACGTAGCTGCTCGTCTACAGCAAGCGCGGGTTGGGTACTTAAAATGTCCCTCGTACTAGAACAGTAGGTGCGGATCTCCTCATTGTGGCGTTAACCTCCAGTGATACCTCAGGTGGCCTTGACACTTTTAAGCTATGATTATGACTATCCCTGTTGTCAGCACACAAAGGTGTTGCGCCAGAACAAGCCGTTGCCTGTAAACACCGGCTACGATTACATTACCCGCGACTCTTATTCTGTTAAACACTCACTGCCCAGTCAGTACTCGATTAAGGCCAAAAAGTGTTTCCACCCGTATCCCAAATTTCCCCTCTCGATGCCTAAATTGTAATGTTCATCATTAGCGGCTTGAGCTACACCACATTTATCATCGGCTGCAGTCAGACTACAGCGGGGCGTGTAAACAGTAATCAGGGGAGCCGTAAATAACATGGTTTCTGAAGGTCACCGCCGTCGGGGATAAGGCAGCGCTTGGCCTGCGTGAATCATCAGACCACTCAGAAAGGACCCATTACTGAAAGGACCACATCAGCAGTGCCGTGGTTCGCTTCCATAACGCTTGGTACCTCGGAGGAGAGAGATTAATAAATAATTAAAAATAACAGCGGTGGATGAGAGACCCTGATTTATTTGTGCCACAACAGGTCATCACATGCACAAATGGATTCACATAATAATTATACCAAATGGGTACTTGAAACCTACGAGTGCGTGTTACTAAAGCTAACAGATGTCCTTCCTAGGAAAGGCAGGAGCAGTGCCACGAGGAAATCCTCTCCGGATCTACTGGTTAACTAATTGATTTAGACAAGTGTACATATCTAATCCCTTCATCATGTGATCCATAACAGGCTGCGGCTCATCCTGAGGCTCAGGTGGGATTTGCCACAATAGAGAACTCAAAACAGTTCAGGTTATTTGGACATTCATGCCATTGTGACGAATTTGATCTTTGTCGATTTGGTGCAAAGGTCGACTCCGCAATCGGCTCGATAAATAATGTGTAACGCAGAGGGATGCTTGGAAGAGTCACCCAGGTCCAACGGATACATGTGATGTAAGCGAGAATCCCCTTTTCTGGAGCACTGAAGGAAGGATTTCCACAATGGGTCAGCGCCTGAGCGAGGAGAGCGACCCAGACAAGGAAATCGATGTGGCGGAGCTGCAGGAATGGTACAAAAAATTTGTTGTGGAGTGCCCGAGCGGAACTCTCTTCATGCACGAGTTCAAGGGGTTCTTTGGCGTTGCCGATAACAAGGAGGCCGCGGATTACATCGAAAACATGTTTCGAGCCTTTGACAAGAACGGGGTGAGTACCAACCCCAGTTGTGTGGTTCTATGAGCCTTGTCGCAAGTTACCAAAGTTGCGTTAATGCCACACGTTAAATGCCAAAGATTCTGATGGTCTATTACTTGCGGCCCTGCATGCATTTCCTAGTAGGAGCCCTATTTATAGTCAATCGTTTTGGCTACACACGAATGTTGCTTCATAAATCCTCTCTCTCGGTGTACACAGGACAACACCATTGATTTCCTGGAGTACGTGGCAGCCTTGAACTTAGTCCTGAGGGGTAAACTGGAGCATAAGCTGAAATGGACATTCAAAATGTATGATAAGGACGGAAGCGGATGCATTGACAAAACAGAGCTTCTTGAAATCGTGGAGGTAATATTTGCCGCCACGCTTTCGAAAACCTTTCGAGGAACATTTCAAAATAAACCACTGCGCTGTAATGGAACGCAGTCAGCAGGATTGGTTGTAACCTACTTTTCTGTCACTCTCAGTCTATTTATCGGCTGAAGAAAGCCTGCCACGGAGACCTGGATGAAGAATGCCACCTGCTGACCCCGGACCAAGTGGTTGACCGTATATTTGAGCTGGTTGATGAAAATGGAGACGGTGAGTGTTTGTCGCTGCACGGGGGATTCAAACGCAACACAAACAAAAAGCAACAAGAGAACAACTGTCCCCCATCACTTTTAGGGGAGCTCTCGTTGGACGAGTTCATTGATGGAGCACGGAGGGACAAGTGGGTGATGAAGATGCTGCAGATGGACGTCAACCCCGGGGACTGGATGAACGAGCAGAGTCGCAGCTCGGACTTCTGATGAGTGGACTGTCGAAGTATCACGCATCATTCATGCGTGACCAATCCCGTGGATATTTTTCTACGTATTACAAGCTGTGGATAAAAGACGTCACAACAGTCCTCCTGGCATTGTTCTGAAAGCAGTCGTTTAGGAATTAGAACGTTTTTCGTGTTGCTTTGCTTGTAAAAGGGGCGACAATTAGTTTCCAATAATGTTTAAGGTCAGCACTTGTGCAAAAGTAGTTTGGACCATTTACTGAAAACTATGGTTTTGTTGGTCTGTTAATATTTATGTTTTTCTGGAATGCCGCAGAAGTGTTTTTTCTCACTTTGAATGATTAGAACTCATTTTTCATTTTCCGCATTCCCTCTTTGTTGCATTGACACTTGAATCTTCCGCAGTCATTTCTACATCAGCATTCCACCAACGTCTCATAACAATAGTAAAAAGCATTACGGGTATAGTGCAGATGTTATATGTAATTTAAAGCAACAATGTTTTTCAAATAAAGAAAATGCATCCAAATGATACTGTCAGGCACGTCTGTGTGTATTACAGTAAGCATTACATTTGTTTTATTCATTGTTTATTTATTTGACTGAAACTAAGGTATTAGTGGGAACAATTTGTGCATTCAGGGAGAACCTCTTTGACAAATGTTCACTACAGTGTATTACTGTGAAATGTCTGCCCGGTGACTATACTTAAATTAAACCTGGATTCTTTCCATAAAGCCTCGGCCATGCACGAGGTCTCGCGTCCTCTCGCGAGATGATAAGACAGCTACCGGCGCTGCTTCGTGACGAGTCCACAGAGCTATGAAAGAGCCAACCAAAAGTACCTCCACTTGGCGTTAAAACGCCGCCACTGCAATTTACGGTTTGTGGGCCATCGGAGACACTTCACCGTCGCATGATAAGCTTGCTCACAGGTCGTCCAGCAGTGCTTTTAATGTGTGCTCAAGACAGCAAATCAACCAACTGCTCAAGTGCGCTCGTCACTGTTGCGAATGTCGTCTGAACTTGACAAACCAGTAAACACTGACGACGTCGAGGTAAAGGGGGGGATACTTTTTCTATTTCGGTTTTAGGTGCCCCCCTTAAGAAATGTATTTTTTTGTACATAGAACGTCGGCTGACGCCAGTGTTTTTATTTGTCGTTCCTTTCCGTGTTGTGCTTCACGATCACGTGGCGCGACGGCGCCCCCTCCCGGCCAGGCCCCAGAAGACAGCCGGAGACTGCGTTATGTCAGCGGGGACCTGTTCTCCTGCCCCGGGGACCAGGCTTTGGCCCACTGCATCAGCGAGGACTGCCGCATGGGGGCAGGCATAGCGGTGATGTTCAAGGAGCGGTTCAAAGGGGTAGAGGAGTTAAAGGAACAGAGTGAGTCGGCTCCCTTTTTACTATTAAATATTCATCAGGAGTGAAAGGGTCTTATTTTTGGTCTCATCGATTCCAGCACAGAAACGCATGCCTTTTTAAAAAAAAGTGCATTTCTAATAAATAACCGAGCTGCATATTGTCACATATTTTATATATTCTGTATCAAAGTTTGATGATTTTCACTCTGCACCGTGCCATCATATGGAAATGTTTTTCATGTGCACATTTTTTATCCAAATATTATTATATATTCTAATATTGCTTAAGAAAAATTTGCACTGTTTTGTTTGTTTGTGCACAGCATTGATTTGATTTATATAAAAAAAACTATAATACCCGGGGTTTGTATTGTGTCTAATTTGACATGAATACTATTTTCTTTATCTCCAAACAGAAAAGCTGACGGGAAATTGCGCCGTGTTAAAACGAGACGGACGTTTTGTCTACTATCTGGTAACGATGTAGCAGTCAATCTGAATTGCTTCCTATACCATCTCTCTATGTAACGCAAATATTGCAGTAGATATTATTGATGCTTTCCTGTAATTACAACGCAGATAACAAAGAAAAAGGCCAGCCAAAAGCCCACCTATGACAGCTTGACACACAGCCTTGAGGATATGAAGTCCCACTGTCTGGCGAACGGAGTAACAAGAATATCAATGCCTCGGTGTGTGTCACGTCTACTTCATGAAACACAATTCAACAGAGAAATACCAATTAGCTCGATAAATGCGCCGCAGATGTGACCAGAGTTGTGTTGGCGCTCTCTTCCTGACAGTATTGGTTGTGGCCTGGATCGACTGCAGTGGAGTAGAGTGTCAGAGATACTGGAACAGGTCTTCAAAACCACAAACGTCTCCATCACCGTCTACAGCCTCCCCGAGAAAGCCGAGACCACAGCGATGAAGGAAAACAGGCGCAGATGATTGATGGGGGGGGGAGAAAAAAAGATCATTGTAATTACAAGTATGCACTTTTCTGTGTCATCCACGGCAATCCTGTTCATTTAAATAAAAATACATGTTCTCGTTCACGTAAATATCAGCCAAACTCTCATGAACACTTTTCTCCTGATCATCTGTTATTCCGGAATCTCTGTTTTTCAGAAAGAACGAGGAAGCACGCTGATCTAAATCTGTCCCTAACTTCAGGTGATGCTCTCATTTGTTCACCTGCCCCGCCTCGTCACGTGGTGTTTAGCCTAAAATGTCGGGCGTCTCTTTATTTGCTCATCCACCCCCCCCCCGGCAGGGATTGGGCAAACACACTATTTGCATTTCTCTCAGGGTATCCTATTACTTCTAGAGTGCTCATGTACTCATTGTAGCCTCTGTAGAGGGTTGAATATTGTGTGATCCATTATTGATCTGCATCGGGTATTGTACTCCGGTCCAGCTGGCTCTCATCGAAAAGGTACCAGATGCCAGTCAAAGAATGAGTGAAGGGAGGGAATCTGACACCACAAAGTCAATCCCACATCCACCCCCCAAGCTTTTCAAACACTGAAATGAGAAGCAGAGAGCTGATGATGCAGAAATCAGGATAATTGGAGTGAAGGGGGCTCTATTTAAGGATATGACGACCTGCACTTCAGGTGTGAGTAATTATCATAAACCTCGGTTGCAATGAGACTTGTCAGTAGTTTGCTGCCCCCCCCCCTCCCCGCTCTCCTTTAGGGCACCTTTGATAATTCAGAAGGAAAGGGCATTAAGTGCTGTAGCCTACACTGCGGCTGCCCATGCATCTACCCGTGGTCGGCTGGAAGACTGTACTTCAGCATCACTGCAACCAACCCCCCTCTCCTCCTCTTCCTCCTCCTCCTCCTCACCCTCCCCATCCCCCTTCTTTGCCTGGCAATTAGACTCCACACTGCAGCAGAGCGACCTCGCCGCGCTGCAGCGAGTGCCGGGGAAACCTCCCCCCATCCGACCGGCTGTCTCACCTCAGCGTGATGCGGCTGGGTGGACTATGTGTCCAAATCCGCCCCCGTCTCATCTAATAGCCCCTACCCCCTCCCATCATTGTTCCCATGCAGCTTCTGCTTGTCCCATTGCGGTACGCTGGTTCGCCGCCAACGCTCCCACTCCCCCTCCCCCCCCCTTCTGTCCTCCATTGCTTATTTTTTTCTTTCTTCTTTTGCTCGATGCGTATGAAATTGCAGAGCTCAGCATCCTTCTCCACGGGCACTTGCAAAGGAGGGCGGGGAGGGGGGAGAAAATAATGAGAGATGAGCTGGGCGGGAGGGTTTCTGGTGCACCACACAACTGGCCCCCCTCCAATTAAAGGAGAGAGCTTATGTTATTGAAGAGCAGCTGAGCCAATCAGGAGGCAGTGCGGGCAAAGACAGCAGGAAAAAAGCAGAAGAGCGAGTGGGCAAGAGGAAGGGAAAAAAGAAAAACTGCGGTGTGTGAGTGTGTGTAGTTTTTTTTTTATCCTCCCCTGAGCAGATCTTTATCAATTTGTGTACTCCAGTCCTGGGGTGCATTTGAATGGGTGTCTGTGTGTGCATATGTGGCAGAGTTTACAGGAGGACAGGGTAAAGGTGTGTCCAGGGGGCTGCATTCGACTCCTGACTTATTCATTCTGAAACTGGAAATAAGAGAAAGTGAGAGAAGATTGATTATTTTTCTCTCTATCTCAAAGTGTGTCGGAGCCAGTGGAGAAGGGGGAGAGCTCGGTGACAAGAGGAGAGCGACCTGCACAGAAGGTAAGCGGTTATATTCTCCTACTATAAGCTTGCTTTTTCTTTTTTCTTTTTTTTTTTTTTTTACACTTCTGAAGTTTATTTTTTTCTAGCGTCTTTTGCCAGATTGCATTCTGGCTCATCTGCCGTCTTTGAGTCTTTCACACTGGGATAACGACGCGTGACTTGTTTTATTCATTTTGTACATTATAGAGACTTGAAAGGAAAGCAGAGGGGAGGCAGAGGAAGGGAGAGATAGAGGAAGAGAGGGGAAGGGAGGGGGGAGGTTAGTGCGGGACTCCCTGATGCTTCCAGGCAAGTTTCTGTGCACACGGTTCTCTAGTGCTGCAGTATCTCATTACACCCCAACGCAGAGCTGCCTCAGCATCCAGCCTCCGCCATCACTGCCACCATATGTACAACTTGGTTGTGTTCCCTCGATGGAATTAAAAGTAAAGTTTTCCCCCCTGGTTGATGAGCTCGCAGTACCAGAAGTCCATTTTGGTTCTGTCGTGCATGCCCGCGTTGTGTCCCATTGGGGTTAATCAGATAACAGATTGAACGAGCTCTGATGGCGTTGGAGCCGGGAGATGAGTTTTAGTTTGGTTGGTCCGATGTTCTGGGACATTTTACCACATAATAAGGGAAAAAAATGTTTACCCTCGCTGGAGTATTTATGCTCTGAACATATGGTTCTAAAATAAGCTGAAACTAATTCAAGTGTAGTTTGTTGTCATTATTATTATTATTAATTATTATTATTGTTATTACTACTAAAGCACATTTATATTTTTTCAAACTATGCATTATTATCTTTATACATCCCACCATCTTTTGTTTTCGGTGGTCTGACCTTCATCATTTCTGAATGAAGATATGTTACTGTCCAGCAGTGGGCAGTGTGTGTTTCCTCTGTACCAAACGTCTGTGTGCACTGGCCTGCTGCAGAATGGGAGGAAATAATGGATGGATGTATTTTGTGTGGGCACGCTGTAAAAGCGTCGCGTTAGGTAGGACGAGGAGCACAGTATGTACCCTCGTTTTCATATCACAAAGCAGCAAGGTTAATACCTTTCACCCTCCCACAGTACACATGAGTACAAGATAATCATGGAGCCGACCGCCTCACTGATCCTTGCTACTGGATTTAAATCATGTTTAAATTATTCAACACTGAAATTATCTGGGGGTGAATAAGGAGGAGGCCCGGAAACGAAGTGTAAGTCGTTTCAGCACCATGGACAGAGCTTCTCTCCAATCGTGTGATGCGAACCAGTCTTTCATAAAGAGGGTCCAAGGAGAGTCTAAGGTGAAGCTTATTCCACTAAAAAATGTCTCTTTAGACGACCTGACAGACGGCGATGCTCGTTTTTGAAGTCTTATTTTGCTCTGACAGGAACGGCTGTTGGCTGTGCACATCTGTCCTTTTCGGTCGAAAACACTTTCCATTATTCATGCAGCGCTCCTCGTCTAGAGCACCGTCCACCCTAAAGAGAACTCTTTTTTTTGGAAAGGTGCTGAGGACTCAGTTCATGGCTGTTTCCTTAGCAAAAAGAGAAGAAAAAAACAACGTGTCCTCCCTGTGCTTGTCTACCTGTATTATCACTATTTGCTCAAGGTGGGAGTGTCACTGCTGTGGTTTTGTTCTAACTTCCCTTTTTCAATGCAAAGCTCCAAGAGGCATATCCAACTAGGGCATGAAATTGACTGCAGCATCAAAATCATTGAGGTTTGACACCTCATTACATGGGTCCATTCGTGTGGTAATATAAAATCAAGAGGATGATGTTATTGAAAGGGCAGGAATCGTACATTTGGTCTGCCGACGGTGCCCTTTGAGTCATTACGTTTCCAAGAAAATCAATTTGAAAATAATTGAGGAGGCGCTAACAGGTAGTGGTGTCATGCTAAGTCATTGAAAAGATAAATGTAAAACATGTGTTGGCTGCAGCCGCTGTAGCTTTGACACCCGCTGTCACACAAAGCTTTGTTTCATATCACGGTTGAAAGCGAGCAGGAAAGTGTCTCTGCAGGATGCAGCCGGCACACTGAGACACACATTCGGATAGCAATGATTAGGAACCTGTGCTCTTTAATGGCAAACGGAAACAAGACCCCTCACGGTTTCCAAGAATTACCCAGCATCCCTCTTCGTGTCAGAGACGGAGGAGATTAAACCAATCCAAATTAGAGAAGATGACTAGTTCGAACACGGCGACCGGTGTGCAGCAATTTACCCAAACTTAAATCTAATTCAGTATTTTCTAGCAGGCTTTTCAGCATCCCAAAATAAACAGCTCTGGTCCTGTGCAAGAATTTGCCTTCGATGAATGCTGGATAGTGAGGAACCTCAGTTTTGCTCTTTGAGGTTTCTCTTATTTCTGTTCTCATGTATTCATACCAACGACGTACGGTAACTCTTTTGAAGATTCGCTGACTTTCTTGGTAACGAAGGCAGCAGCTGCTGGGCTTGTCATTGCTCATTCTGTGTGTGTGTGTGTGTGTGTGTGTGTGAGAGTTTGGTGTGCCCCGGTAACCGATGGTGTGGGCAACATAGCGGAGCACCAACGGCTGTCACTGTGACATCCTGCAGTTGGCAAAAATCCCTCAAACTCTGCAGATCAGGATGAGAAGAGGTGCCGTGAAATAGTGTTACATCTGTGTTGTTTAGATTGTGCAGATGAAACACAGTGAAAGCACTCAATGGCTTTACTAGAATCCCTCTGTGATAAATACAGTGTCTAAGTGTCAGTGGAAAAACAGTGTGTGTGTGTCTTCTGCATCGCCAGGAAAAGGTTACAAGATGTATTATTAGTTACTAAGTGTGCAAGTCAGCGACAGAGGGCCGGGTACTTTCCATGAAGAACATGAGAGACGCCGTTGGACACTTGGATCACAGGCGGCTTCAACGCCGAGGGGGGGAAAAAAATGGCCTTGAAGCGTTCGAAAGCAAAGAGAGGACAGCGGAGATGTGGATGTAAGACGTGCAACCCGAGCGATGGGCGATGGATCGAGCGAGAGATTGAGAGATTGTCAGAGGCAGAGCAGGAGCGGCAGAGAGTGGGTGTGCATCGCAGAGCTACGTGCACTGCAGTACATTGCGGTGCCCAGCCCCCGCCGTGTTCTCTGCTCACCATCCGGGTCCATGCACCGAAAAGACCCCCGCAGCAGCCGAGCTGCACGATCAGCGGCAGCCTCCCAGAGAGCCCCGTTGTGCACCCGGCACCCGGGGAAGAAGCACGGGGATGTTTTATTTTATTTTTTGGGGGGGTTATTTATGGAAGCACGATGCTCGAAACAGCAGACCCGCGGCTGCCGGCACTCATGCTCCTGCAGACAGAGGGAGTAGTCGATTCACGCTCCCCCTGGATTATGTAAGCGTATAACACATTCGCTTCACCCCACACTAGCTGAATGATCCCGTTTTCCCCGGCCATGTTTTCCTCAGCAGGAACATCTGCCTCGCAGTTTGCTTTTGTTCCAGAGGTAGCATCTTTGCAAACATGGAGAGTCACTTTATTGAGCTTATTGTAAAGGGCAACAATAGGGGGGAAACAAACAGAGCACACCCTTTGAAAGCCTGTGGTTGGACATCACGTTGATGATGCTGGAGTAGCAAATAGTGATGCCTATGAACTGAATAAAATACCCCCCCCCCCACCACCACACATTAATTCAGCTTAAAGCCAGGCAGTGTTCACGGGATCCACGGATGACTCACGCGGGGCAGCCTCACACTTAAATGAGATTACTTACGCGGCCTTTTGGTGGAGCGAGCTACACCCACACACGAGCACACGCGCGTAGAAGCGGATGACTCCTAATCACGTGAAAGCTCGACAGAGAAACTTGTTTCTGCTTTCCATAAACAGTTGCTACGTTCCCGTCCCGCTCGCCTGCCCGAGGGGTCGGACGGCTGAAACGCTAGAGCTGCCCCCCCCCCTCCCATCCTCTACTCAGCAATTCACATTGTGTAGCGTGGAGACTCTCTATCTCGCTCTCTCTGCTTCCTGTGACAAGGTCTGATTGTGTCACTCACAGTGTTCCTGAGTAGTTGAGTCAATTACACCTCGGCAGACAGGTGTTTGAGCTGTGAAGTGTGTTTGCTGCGGCACATCACAGCGTGTTTGCTTCTGATTTTCACAGAAATCAGCACCGGGGCTCTGAAAGAGATAAAGCTGCAATGTGCGTAACTGTATTAGATGTATTTATTAACACCAAATGCTCCCGATGCCCCAAACGGCCGCTTCCTATTGGTGGCCGGTGGGAAAGCTGTGGTTTGAAGAATCTTATTTCTACCTGTGTTTTACACATGTAGGTGTTTTTACTTCCCTCGGCGAAGAGGTGTTAGATCCTCTAACCTTGCGAAATCCATTGAAGAATGGAAGAAAATAATTGCTACAGTCATGTCTTTTCGTCCTTGAGAGAGCGCAGTGTTCTCGAGGTGAGTTAAACGCTGTCTGACTATTCGTGAAGGGAAAGCAGAGATCAACACTGTGGTGTGTGTGTGTGTGTGTGTGTGTGTGACAGCGACAGAGAAGAGTGGGAGAAGGCAGCGGAGTGTTGTAGTGTGGGTGAGCTGCAGTGGGTGAGATCCGGGAGTGCTGCATTGAGCTGCATAATTAATGTGAAGGGGGTGGAGCTAAAGGCGCCGTGGAGAACAGGCCTCTGCTACACTACCACAAGCAGAGCTGCCTCTTTTTTTGGGGGGTGGGTGGAGGGGGTGGGGGGTTGAATCCTTCTTGATTACAGAGCAGTATACCAGTGGCATGTCGACGCAGGACTAAGGAGGCTCTTTCTGTTGTTTGGTCCAGATCTGAGTCCCCGTCCCATCTGCTCCCCTCGGCCCTGAAAGCCAATCAGCCTCCACTGAGCCGCGTTCCACGGCCAAATGCCTCAGCGCTGGCGGCACGGCTCTGTTAATCATCCAATTTGTAGCAAAACAGCTTCCTATATGACACATCTGGTGTAAGTCAGCTCGTCGGCCCGAGCTGGACCACGAGGTAGGAGGGGGAGTGGCTTTG